ATATTGATGGCCAGTTATGTTATTTTTATAGTTATAATACCAGCCGATGCAAAGCAAATCTAATATATTTCGATACGTTAAATACATAATATTTACCTATTAGAATATATTCATATCTTAAAAGCTCGTGCAGCTGGCACCGACTTCGAAAATATCTGATTAGGTATCTATTCTAAATGAAAACCTCCGTTTAGTTATTTTTTATATTTTAGCGCCTGGAAGTCGGTTTTTAGTTTTTATTTTTCCACTTTTAGTGTAGACGTAATAAGCAGGTAATTTGTAAACAGAAACTTTTTAATAACATATTCGAATAAACAATTTATTAAAAAAAATCATTTATTGTTGATTTTTATAAAAACCGCTCGATCGATTTCGATAAATTTTAAACGGGACCACCTGGGAAGTATGGGTATACACTGTGAAACAAAAAAGTTTTCCAAATCGGTTCAGGCGTCTTCGAGTAATCGGTGAACATTCATTAAAAAAAAGATTCCGACAAATTGAGAACCTCCTCCTTTTTGGAATTGGAAGTCGGTTAAAAATACTATTCAACAGTTAAAAGTCATGTACAAAGTTGAAACAAAAATAGTTTAATAAAAATAAGATTGCTAGTAATTTCAATTCTGCTTGAAAAGTAAACCCGACGTCACACACGCTGTCGCACCATTAATATCGCCTAAGCCCTATTCAGTTTATTTAAGCCCCATAAAGACTTCCTATTAAAGTGCTTGGTAGTTGTCGATGTCGATTTTCTTTTAGTGTTAATGAAATCTAAACTTTACGTTATTTAGCGCTTAGTGTTTATGAATGGAAGTTTTTACTAGATATAAATTTTTTTTCTTAATGACCCTACTTGCTGTGACAGCGAGTTGCGGGTTCGAGTTCCGCTGTGGTCATTAATTTGTGGGATGAGCACGAATATTTGTACTCCAGTCTTAGGTGTTTATATTTATAATATGTATAAATTTTTAAGTTATATATGTGTAGTGTATCAACTATCTAGTATCCATAACACAGGCCTCGTAACTTACTATGGAACCAGATGGTGCTTTGTGTTAATGTCCCAACATATTTATAATTATTAAAATAAAAATATTAAAATGGTATTTTTATTGTTTTAAACGTTTAGGACGAACGTTTTATTACTTCTAGTCTTTTCATATATAGTAGTGTTTCGTTTTTTTTAATAAGTTTAGATTTTTTTGTGTTGATCATGGCTTTTAATTTTTGGTGCGGAATATATTATTACAATCTCTTGAACAGGATAAATCGATGCTTTCAGTAGTAGAAAGCTATACTATTTCTAAATAAAATAGGCCACATTTTAATATCATATCATCATACGAAAACCGCGGAGGACAACTAGTCTACTAATTTAAAAATTAAAGTAATTACATTCAAGTACAGATATATAATCTTAATATAAATTTTTCAATTAATCTCAAATGCATTACAATACCTATCGAAAATATATTTTTTACTTATGAAGCTACTCAACATTAAGCCGAGATTAAAAGAGGTTTTATCTGACGTACGATAAAATGGTTCTAAATGTTTTGCTTGTACGTACTGTTATATATATGTTATGTATATAATGGCGCCTAGTAGCCCTATTCCTTCTCCTTGGTCAGCACTTTTGATGGTTCATAATTATTAAATATTAATTATAGTTCAGTTCGATTCCAACATCCGCGCGTGACACTTGCCCTAATAAAATCGGGTCCAATCTTTTAAATAAAAGTGTGTTTTATGTAAATCCAAGTTATTTTCTTTTTTTTTTTTTTTTTTTTTAAAAACCAATTAGTGAAAAGTGCTATAACAAATTTGGTGGCAGCGGTGGGATACCGATGGTGAAGGTATCCCTGGTACGTCTCCGTTCGGACTCGATGAATATATAGTTTAAATTATTTTCCTAATTTCAAGAAAGTTTCAAAAGTGTCAAAAGTGTCAAAAGGTGAAAATAAAAGAAAATCGAACTCATAAAATAACTATCGCGAGTATTCCTGCTCTGTTCCTGAACTACCTGGGAAACTTCAATTCTCTGAAACGCCGCATCCTGAGGTGGCAATGTTCCTGCACATTTTCTACGTCTTCCTGTGAGTTTTTAAACATATTTTCCTGTGAAAGTGTACTTCAATGGCAAATTTCAAAACAAGTGCGTAATTGTGGTAATCGTGATCCTAGTGAAATTATTTTATTATTAAGGACTAATAATATTAATTGATTTTATTTGCATGTAAATTTTATTGTAACTTTCACATAGATATTATTTGTCATAAATCTATTCTCGGAATTATCAGGATATTCAATACCATATTTGCGCTTATCTTAGACCACACAGTAGCGAACTTAGTGGCCGTCTGTTACACCGAATCATATTTATTTAATTGTTATTCTTCGTTAACGTATTTTTTTTTCCATTTCTATTAAAATGTCTCTTAGGGAAACGCAAGTCAAACAAGAAAAAAATGAAGGCATTCAAATCGGAACATTATTTAAATTCATAAAACCATTCGATGGCTCACGCGAAAAATTAAATTCATTTATAACTAATTGTGATAATGCCATTGACCTAGCTTCTGATGCCCAAAAATCGATACTATTTAAATTCATTTTATCACAATTGGAAGGAAAGGCCGAGGTAGCTTGCTCTATTAAAGAATTCGATTCTTGGGATCAATTGAGTCAATTCCTAAAAACACAGTTTGGTGAGAGGAAACATTACGCTCATCTTATGACGGAATTACAGGAATGTCGACAATTAAATGAACCGGTTAATCAATTTGCATTACGCGTTGAAACCTGCCTTTCAAAACTTTTAACGGAGGTCACATTGTCTAATAAAAAGAAAACAGAACTAGTCGGTCGTACAGCGGCTATGGAAGACTTAGCTCTACACACATTTTTGACTGGCCTCAAGCCCGATATTTCTAATTTAGTCCGTGGTCGGAATCCATCCACCCTTAACGATGCCATAAATTTGGCAGTATCAGAGGAGAAAATAATAAATTCATATAACAGACGTAATCCCCATAGTTCAACATCACATCGCATTTTTTCAAAACCTCAATATAACTTTCACTCAAATGATCATAACGCTGTTTCTAAGTCACAAATGCCAAAACAACATGAGCGAATTAATCAAAGTCTCTTTTGTCGTTATTGTAGGAAAAGCGGTCATACTATAGAAATGTGTAGGAAACGTGAATACAACAATAATCGGTTCAAATCTAACCCTTCTTCCCAATTTCAAAGGCAATCTAACCAGGATAGTTCTAGGCCTCAACCCTCTCGCGTTAATTGTGTAATCAATAGGGATGATTATTATAACCTTGAGACACAACCTAATACAAATTCGAATGACGCTCAACCTTATGAAGATAACCATTTAAACGAATAAAGGGCTCACGGAGGTGTCTCGTGAGGCCCGATATCCGACCTTTCACAGAACTCTTCAAAACCAATGACACCTATACTTCTAAATCTAAGGATCACAATGGTAACCAGCCCCAAATAAGTGTCCATATTTCCAATTTTAGGGACCACAAGGGTAACCAGCCCCAAACAAGTGCCCATATTTCTAATTCTAGGGACCACAAGGGTAACCAGCCCCAAACAAGTGCCCATATTTCCAAATCTAAGGACCACAAGGGTAACCAGCCCCAAACAAATGTCCATATTTCGAATTCTAAGGACCACAAGGGTAACCAGCCCCAAACAAGTGTCCATATTTCCAATTCTAAGGGTCACAAGGGTATCCAGCCCCAAACAGGAACCCAAAATTATCCAAATCCTAATAGAATCCTTAATAATAATAACTTAGAAGAGAATAAGGTGTATGAGATATCCTGCAAACATAATATATCTTTACCTCACGTTTATATCCACACATCCGTATCTAAGAAACCACTAACACTATTAGTAGATACTGGATCTTCGATATGTCTTCTTCAAAAAAGTTCCGTTCAATCGTATTTTGATCTAAAACTTAATAAAAATATCATAAAATTAAAAGGTATAGATAGCCGTGAGGAAGCTGTACCTACCCTTGGTAATTTCGATATGAACCTTATATTTGGTAAGGAATCAATATCTTACAAATTTCACGTCGTAGATGCAATTGACTTTCCCTATGATGGTATCATAGGTAACGATTTACTTACCAAATATCAGTGCTCCATTGACTATAATCGTAAAATTCTTAACCTAGGAATAAATAAAATAAAATTAAACTTTACTGACCCAATTTATCAAATACCACCCCGTTCCGAAATCACTGTAGAATGCTCTGTCCTTAACCCCGAATTAAAGGAAGGCCTCATTCTTGATCAACATGTCAGTGATACGCTATTTATCGCGAATTGCTTAGTTAAGGTTAAAAAGAACAATAGAATTAATCTTACAGTTTTAAATACCTCTGAAAAACCAGTTTCCTTAAATTCTAACCTTCAACTTACCTTACATCCAATCGATTATGAGGCTTACCAATCACAGGATAAAAGTCAATCATGTCTTAATAGAACTAACGAGGTCATTAAACTTCTTCGAGTTTCGCATTTAAATTCTGAGGAAAGTGAAGCTCTATACGATTTGTGCTCAAAATATTCGATATATTTCATTTGCCAAATGATTTACTTACCTCAACCGATGCAATTCAACACGAAATTCGTACTTCCTCTGATCAGCCTATTAATGTGAAATCCTATCGCTTTCCTGAAATACATAAGCAAGAAGTCAATTCTCAAATACAAAAGATGATGGATCAGAATATTATCAAGCCTTCCACATCTCCCTGGTCTTCTCCAATATGGATTGTTCCCAAAAAGATAGATGCTTCTGGCCAAAAGAAATGGCGCATAGTAATTGACTATAGAAAATTAAATGATATCACAATAGGTGAAATCTATCCCATCCCTAACATTGTCGAAATTCTAGATCAATTAGGTAACTCAAAATATTTTTCAACATTAGATCTTGCTTCCGGGTTTCATCAAATCAAAATGGCTCCACAAGACGCCTGTAAGACTGCTTTCAGTGTTCCCCAAGGACATTTCGAGTTCACTAGAATGCCCTTCGGCTTAAAAAATGCACCAGCAACTTTCCAACGCTTAATGAATAATGTTCTAACAGGGCTCCAAGGTGAAAGATGCTTTGTATATTTAGATGATATTGTTGTTTATTCACATGATTTAAATCGCCACATTGACAATTTAACTGCAGTCTTTCAAAAGCTTCGTAACTTTAATTTAAAATTACAGCCCGACAAATGTGAATTTTTAAGGAAAGAAGTAGGCTATCTTGGGCACATTATTACAGAAAATGGCTTAAAACCAGATCCGAACAAAGTTAAATCCGTTCAGAATTTTCCAGTTCCAAAATGTCCAAAGGATATAAAATCATTTTTAGGCCTCATATCTTATTATAGACGTTTCATACCCGATTTTTCAAAATTATCTAAATCTCTTACATCACTCTTAAAGAAAAATGTTCCGTTTGTCTGGACAAACGAACAACAATTAGCTTTTGAAATGCTGAAAGACAAACTCGTTACTGCCCCAGTTTTAATTTACCCAGATTTTACAAAATCTTTTAACCTTACTTGTGATGCAAGTAACTACGCGATATCTGCTATCTTATCTCAAGGCCCAGTCGGAAAAGACCAACCCGTAGCTTACGCGTCTAGAACTTTAAACAAGTGTGAAATCAACTATAGTACAACGGAAAAGGAATTGTTAGCCATAGTATGGGGTTGTAAAACTTTCAGGCCATACCTGTTTGGTCGCAAATTTATTATTATAACTGATCATCGCCCTTTAAAGTGGCTTTTTAACCACACAGACCCAAGTAGTAAGTTGCAACGATGGCGTCTTCAGCTTCAGGAATTTGAATACGAAATTGTTTACCGTAAAGGTAAATTAAATTCAGCAGCTGATGCTCTTTCGCGGTATCCTGTTAACCCTGCATATCCTGTAAACTTACCTGAAACTGAGCTTATAGAACTTGGCCCATTAGATATTAGTCCTTTTAATGCAGAAGTAGGTGATTTCAGTCCTTTTAATATTCCAAGCCCAGTGAATTTACCAGATCCTTTTCTTCCCGTAGAAGAAGTACCACATTGTGATATTCCCAATCCTTCTGATTCTTCCAATCCTTTGGAAACTTTAGATAAAAACCTAAATCCTGAACAAGAAAACGAACAGCTTTCCTCTAGTAATCAACCTCCTGAAATAATCCCTTCTCCTACTCTGAACTCACCTGATTCTTCAGATACTTATTCAAAGTTCTTGAAAGTGCCTTCTACAGTAACATTTGATACAGTAATTTCCGAACATAACGATAGTATATTAAAGAGTCAAAATAAAATTATAGTAATACCTACATCGCTTGATTTAGATGAATCTATTCCGTATGTCCAGGAAATTCTATCAAATTCACCGGATTGTGAACCATTTACGAATTCAGAGAGAACTCTATTTTCCTATAAATCACTGATAATTAATGATAAAACTTTTTACTTCCTATTTATTAAAGTTCATCACTTTGACAACTGTTTCTTATAGTGACATATTCGAAACTTTAAAGAATTTTCGTAATCACCTTACATCTCTAGAAGAACCCATTGACAAAATTAGTATTACCGATTTTAAAAATCCATTCGATAAACATATATACATCAAAATCTATAATATGTTAGCATACTTATTTAATAACACAGGAATTGAAATTCATGTTTATCGTAATAAAATATATTATCCTAACCCCAGTGAAGTCAAAAAGATCCTTAAAGAAAACCATGATATACCCGTAGCAGGTCACCTTGGTTCAAATCGAATGTTTAATAGAATCCGTGAACAATTTTACTGGAAAAACATGCGTAGCGACATTGAAAATTATGTAAAAGAATGCTCATCCTGTCAAACCAATAAAGCACTTCGCAAAGTGAATAGAGCTCCCATGCAAATTACAAGTACTTCAACTGTTCCTTTTGAACGAGTCTCTTTAGATATTGTTGGTCCACTTCCAGAATCTGGAACTGCCAAACTTAAATATATTTTAACTATCCAAGATGATCTCACAAAGTTTTCCGCCGCTTATCCTATCAGAAGTACAACCGCCGAAGAAACTAGTGATTGTCTCCTTCATTTATTTCTCAATTTGGTATTCCTAAAACCATCCTAACTGATCAAGGTACTAATTTTACAGCTGAACTCTTCAAAGAAACCTGTTCCTTTTTAAAGATTAAACAATTGTGGTCTTCTCCCTATCACCCTCAGACACAAGGCGCCTTAGAACGGAGCCATTCTACTTTAAAAGAATATTTAAAATCCTATGTAGATGAATCTCAAACTAACTGGCCTCGATATGTGTATACTGCCATGTTAGCTTATAACACTGCTATACATTCCACTACTAATTATTCTCCTCACGAACTTCTCTTTGGTAATAAGCCATATCTTCCAAATTCCATTTATGAGCCCTCTTCTTCTGATGCTACATATTCCGATTATGTAAAAATGCTTAAACACCGTCTCCAATTCACTCGCGCAAAAGCAATAGAAAACATTCAAAAATCAAAAGAGTCGTCAAAAACGTATTACGATTCACGTTCAAAACCTGTTAGCTACAAAGTGGGTGATTACGTATTCTTAAAAAACCACCTTAGACTCCGTAAAGCATTATCTCCAATTTGGAAAGGACCCTATAAAGTCGTTAAAATTAATGGGAGAAATACATTAACACTTTTAATTAACAGACGTCATGTAACTCATCATTTTGATGAAGTAAAACTTGCGCGTCGCAATAGCGACCAATAAAAATAATTTTATTTAGGTATCTATTTTATTATTTCTAAATATTCTATTTCAGCTTTGCAATTTTGGTAAGAGGAAACTTCATCCAGCCTGTCAGGAAAAATCCTGGTATATATTTCGACCCCATTGGTTCCTTAAAAATTATAGACGGACATCTTAGTGTAGTAATTCCGACTGATATTTCATTTATTAAACCTCATATAGAAAACTTGAACGGTGTGATAGGCACCTCGCGATATCTATGTAAACAAAGTAGCGCTTTCACTGAGCTCGAATGTCATAATATGTTACAACCATTATCTGTTCGATACTACGACATAATTAGAGACTTTGAATCTATTTCTCATTTCATTGAGCCGAGATCCAAAAGATCAGCCTGGTTCGGTGGCATAGGCACCGCATTTAAGCATTTGTTTGGAACTATGAATGAAGACGATGCAATTATGTATAGCAGCGCCATTAAATCAGTAGAGAATGATCAATTAAAATTATCGGAATTAATGAAAGAAAATATTTTGATAACTAAATCTACACTTTCTTCTTATAAAAATATTATAGATGACATTGGTAATAATGAACAAAGATTAAATAGCGCTGTTGAAAGCATATCCAATAATATAAGGAACTTAACTTTGTTAACCGATAATTTAATTATAAAATCTAATTTTAATGAAATGCTAAATATGTTGGAAAGTAGTTTACTTACTTTATCATTTAAATTAGAGGACATAATTAATGGAATAATGTTTAGTAAATCTAATATTTTACATCCGTCAATTATTACCCCGAAACAGTTGTTTTCTGAATTGGTAAATAATTATCGATTTTTACCAAATTATAGACATTTTCCTGTAAATCTTTCATTGGACAACATGTATGTGTTATTAGATATATCCGAATTAGCTAGTTTCTATAATCAGTATAAAATTGTGTTTGTTCTTAAGGTCCCACTTGTGACCTCCAACGAATTTAGTTTATATAACTGTATTTCATTTCCAGTTTTAAACGAAATTGAAAATAAAACTTATACAACTATTATTCCATCGACAAAATATATAGGCATAACTAGAGATAGATCTTTATATTGTAAGTTAGATAATTTAGATAACTGTAAAACTCTATATAATATGTTTTTTATTTGTAACCTACTTAATGTTTATTCTAGCTCTGTAAATCCGATTTGTGAATCTGAAATAATTTCTAAATCCTTGAACTCTGTTCCAAATCTATGTGAAATTAAATTTTTTCAAGGTCATGTCGAAATTTGGCAAAGGTTAAATAATAATAAGTAGATTTATATTATTTCAGAGAAATCTAAGCTTTCTATTTCCTGTGAAAAATCTGTTGACAGTGAGTTAAGTATTTTTGGTACTGGATTCTTTAATCTTCCTATTAATTGTATTGCTTATTATAAAGACTTGATATTCATTCCTAAATCTATAAAAGAAATTGAAATTCCATTTTTTAATTCCACATTCGATTTATTAAATGATAAATGTTGTGATTTAAATGTTTTACAAAATCAAGAGAAGAGTATCCCTAATTTAACTCTGAAAAACATAGAACTCGATTCAATTTCATATGAGCATGACAAAGCCACGAGCCAAATTGTTAATGATTTAGATAAGATAATTAATAAACCCCATATTATTCTATACGGTGAATATTATTCCTATGCAACAATAATTATTAGTATTATTATTATTATTTCATTATGTATACTTTCATTTAAATGTATCAAATCGGGCAAATGTCACGGTTTATTTAAGAAAAATAACTCTAAATTTCATATTAAAGAAGCCGAAGAGCTTACAGAAGTTGCTACCAATTCCTCTGACATTCCATCACCCAAAATCCGCACTACTATTTCATAAACTTACCCCCTTTAAGGGTAAGTTTAGTCAAAACCCTGGGGGCTGTTATATATATGTTATGTATATAATGGCGCCTAGTAGCCCTATTCCTTCTCCTTGGTCAGCACTTTTGATGGTTCATAATTATTAAATATTAATTATAGTTCAGTTCGATTCCAACATCCGCGCGTGACACTTGCCCTAATAAAATCGGGTCCAATCTTTTAAATAAAAGTGTGTTTTATGTAAATCCAAGTTATTTTCTTTTTTTTTTTTTTTTAAAAACCAATTAGTGAAAAGTGCTATAACAAATTTGGTGGCAGCGGTGGGATACCGATGGTGAAGGTATCCCTGGTACGTCTCCGTTCGGACTCGATGAATATATAGTTTAAATTATTTTCCTAATTTCAAGAAAGTTTCAAAAGTGTCAAAAGTGTCAAAAGGTGAAAATAAAAGAAAATCGAACTCATAAAATAACTATCGCGAGTATTCCTGCTCTGTTCCTGAACTACCTGGGAAACTTCAATTCTCTGAAACGCCGCATCCTGAGGTGGCAATGTTCCTGCACATTTTCTACGTCTTCCTGTGAGTTTTTAAACATATTTTCCTGTGAAAGTGTACTTCAATGGCAAATTTCAAAACAAGTGCGTAATTGTGGTAATCGTGATCCTAGTGAAATTATTTTATTATTAAGGACTAATAATATTAATTGATTTTATTTGCATGTAAATTTTATTGTAACTTTCACATAGATATTATTTGTCATAAATCTATTCTCGGAATTATCAGGATATTCAATACCATATTTGCGCTTATCTTAGACCACACAGTAGCGAACTTAGTGGCCGTCTGTTACACCGAATCATATTTATTTAATTGTTATTCTTCGTTAACGTATTTTTTTTCCATTTCTATTAAAATGTCTCTTAGGGAAACGCAAGTCAAACAAGAAAAAAATGAAGGCATTCAAATCGGAACATTATTTAAATTCATAAAACCATTCGATGGCTCACGCGAAAAATTAAATTCATTTATAACTAATTGTGATAATGCCATTGACCTAGCTTCTGATGCCCAAAAATCGATACTATTTAAATTCATTTTATCACAATTGGAAGGAAAGGCCGAGGTAGCTTGCTCTATTAAAGAATTCGATTCTTGGGATCAATTGAGTCAATTCCTAAAAACACAGTTTGGTGAGAGGAAACATTACGCTCATCTTATGACGGAATTACAGGAATGTCGACAATTAAATGAACCGGTTAATCAATTTGCATTACGCGTTGAAACCTGCCTTTCAAAACTTTTAACGGAGGTCACATTGTCTAATAAAAAGAAAACAGAACTAGTCGGTCGTACAGCGGCTATGGAAGACTTAGCTCTACACACATTTTTGACTGGCCTCAAGCCCGATATTTCTAATTTAGTCCGTGGTCGGAATCCATCCACCCTTAACGATGCCATAAATTTGGCAGTATCAGAGGAGAAAATAATAAATTCATATAACAGACGTAATCCCCATAGTTCAACATCACATCGCATTTTTTCAAAACCTCAATATAACTTTCACTCAAATGATCATAACGCTGTTTCTAAGTCACAAATGCCAAAACAACATGAGCGAATTAATCAAAGTCTCTTTTGTCGTTATTGTAGGAAAAGCGGTCATACTATAGAAATGTGTAGGAAACGTGAATACAACAATAATCGGTTCAAATCTAACCCTTCTTCCCAATTTCAAAGGCAATCTAACCAGGATAGTTCTAGGCCTCAACCCTCTCGCGTTAATTGTGTAATCAATAGGGATGATTATTATAACCTTGAGACACAACCTAATACAAATTCGAATGACGCTCAACCTTATGAAGATAACCATTTAAACGAATAAAGGGCTCACGGAGGTGTCTCGTGAGGCCCGATATCCGACCTTTCACAGAACTCTTCAAAACCAATGACACCTATACTTCTAAATCTAAGGATCACAATGGTAACCAGCCCCAAATAAGTGTCCATATTTCCAATTTTAGGGACCACAAGGGTAACCAGCCCCAAACAAGTGCCCATATTTCTAATTCTAGGGACCACAAGGGTAACCAGCCCCAAACAAGTGCCCATATTTCCAAATCTAAGGACCACAAGGGTAACCAGCCCCAAACAAGTGTCCATATTTCGAATTCTAAGGACCACAAGGGTAACCAGCCCCAAACAAGTGTCCATATTTCCAATTCTAAGGGTCACAAGGGTATCCAGCCCCAAACAAGAACCCAAAATTATCCAAATCCTAATAGAATCCTTAATAATAATAACTTAGAAGAGAATAAGGTGTATGAGATATCCTGCAAACATAATATATCTTTACCTCACGTTTATATCCACACATCCGTATCTAAGAAACCACTAACACTATTAGTAGATACTGGATCTTCGATATGTCTTCTTCAAAAAAGTTCCGTTCAATCGTATTTTGATCTAAAACTTAATAAAAATATCATAAAATTAAAAGGTATAGATAGCCGTGAGGAAGCTGTACCTACCCTTGGTAATTTCGATATGAACCTTATATTTGGTAAGGAATCAATATCTTACAAATTTCACGTCGTAGATGCAATTGACTTTCCCTATGATGGTATCATAGGTAACGATTTACTTACCAAATATCAGTGCTCCATTGACTATAATCGTAAAATTCTTAACCTAGGAATAAATAAAATAAAATTAAACTTTACTGACCCAATTTATCAAATACCACCCCGTTCCGAAATCACTGTAGAATGCTCTGTCCTTAACCCCGAATTAAAGGAAGGCCTCATTCTTGATCAACATGTCAGTGATACGCTATTTATCGCGAATTGCTTAGTTAAGGTTAAAAAGAACAATAGAATTAATCTTACAGTTTTAAATACCTCTGAAAAACCAGTTTCCTTAAATTCTAACCTTCAACTTACCTTACATCCAATCGATTATGAGGCTTACCAATCACAGGATAAAAGTCAATCATGTCTTAATAGAACTAACGAGGTCATTAAACTTCTTCGAGTTTCGCATTTAAATTCTGAGGAAAGTGAAGCTCTATACGATTTGTGCTCAAAATATTCGGATATATTTCATTTGCCAAATGATTTACTTACCTCAACCGATGCAATTCAACACGAAATTCGTACTTCCTCTGATCAGCCTATTAATGTGAAATCCTATCGCTTTCCTGAAATACATAAGCAAGAAGTCAATTCTCAAATACAAAAGATGATGGATCAGAATATTATCAAGCCTTCCACATCTCCCTGGTCTTCTCCAATATGGATTGTTCCCAAAAAGATAGATGCTTCTGGCCAAAAGAAATGGCGCATAGTAATTGACTATAGAAAATTAAATGATATCACAATAGGTGAAATCTATCCCATCCCTAACATTGTCGAAATTCTAGATCAATTAGGTAACTCAAAATATTTTTCAACATTAGATCTTGCTTCCGGGTTTCATCAAATCAAAATGGCTCCACAAGACGCCTGTAAGACTGCTTTCAGTGTTCCCCAAGGACATTTCGAGTTCACTAGAATGCCCTTCGGCTTAAAAAATGCACCAGCAACTTTCCAACGCTTAATGAATAATGTTCTAACAGGGCTCCAAGGTGAAAGATGCTTTGTATATTTAGATGATATTGTTGTTTATTCACATGATTTAAATCGCCACATTGACAATTTAACTGCAGTCTTTCAAAAGCTTCGTAACTTTAATTTAAAATTACAGCCCGACAAATGTGAATTTTTAAGGAAAGAAGTAGGCTATCTTGGGCACATTATTACAGAAAATGGCTTAAAAACCAGATCCGAACAAAGTTAAATCCGTTCAGAATTTTCCAGTTCCAAAATGTCCAAAGGATATAAAATCATTTTTAGGCCTCATATCTTATTATAGACGTTTCATACCCGATTTTTCAAAATTATCTAAATCTCTTACATCACTCTTAAAGAAAAATGTTCCGTTTGTCTGGACAAACGAACAACAATTAGCTTTGAAATGCTGAAAGACAAACTCGTTACTGCCCCAGTTTTAATTTACCCAGATTTTACAAAATCTTTTAACCTTACTTGTGATGCAAGTAACTACGCGATATCTGCTATCTTATCTCAAGGCCCAGTCGGAAAAGACCAACCCGTAGCTTACGCGTCTAGAACTTTAAACAAGTGTGAAATCAACTATAGTACAACGGAAAAGGAATTGTTAGCCATAGTATGGGGTTGTAAAACTTTCAGGCCATACCTGTTTGGTCGCAAATTTATTATTATAACTGATCATCGCCCTTTAAAGTGGCTTTTTAACCACACAGACCCAAGTAGTAAGTTGCAACGATGGCGTCTTCAGCTTCAGGAATTTGAATACGAAATTGTTTACCGTAAAGGTAAATTAAATTCAGCAGCTGATGCTCTTTCGCGGTATCCTGTTAACCCTGCATATCCTGTAAACTTACCTGAAACTGAGCTTATAGAACTTGGCCCATTAGATATTAGTCCTTTTAATGCAGAAGTAGGTGATTTCAGTCCTTTTAATATTCCAAGCCCAGTGAATTTACCAGATCCTTTTCTTCCCGTAGAAGAAGTACCACATTGTGATATTCCCAATCCTTCTGATTCTTCCAATCCTTTGGAAACTTTAGATAAAAACCTAAATCCTGAACAAGAAAACGAACAGCTTTCCTCTAGTAATCAACCTCCTGAAATAATCCCTTCTCCTACTCTGAACTCACCTGATTCTTCAGATACTTATTCAAAGTTCTTGAAAGTGCCTTCTACAGTAACATTTGATACAGTAATTTCCGAACATAACGATAGTATATTAAAGAGTCAAAATAAAATTATAGTAATACCTACATCGCTTGATTTAGATGAATCTATTCCGTATGTCCAGGAAATTCTATCAAATTCACCGGATTGTGAACCATTTACGAATTCAGAGAGAACTCTATTTTCCTATAAATCACTGATAATTAATGATAAAACTTTTTACTTCCTATTTATTAAAGTTCATCACTTTGACAACTGTTCTTATAGTGACATATTCGAAACTTTAAAGAATTTTCGTAATCACCTTACATCTCTAGAAGAACCCATTGACAAAATTAGTATTACCGATTTTAAAAATCCATTCGATAAACATATATACATCAAAATCTATAATATGTTAGCATACTTATTTAATAACACAGGAATTGAAATTCATGTTTATCGTAATAAAATATATTATCCTAACCCCAGTGAAGTCAAAAAGATCCTTAAAGAAAACCATGATATACCCGTAGCAGGTCACCTTGGTTCAAATCGAATGTTTAATAGAATCCGTGAACAATTTTACTGGAAAAACATGCGTAGCGACATTGAAAATTATGTAAAAGAATGCTCATCCTGTCAAACCAATAAAGCACTTCGCAAAGTGAATAGAGCTCCCATGCAAATTACAAGTACTTCAACTGTTCCTTTTGAACGAGTCTCTTTAGATATTGTTGGTCCACTTCCAGAATCTGGAACTGCCAAACTTAAATATATTTTAACTATCCAAGATGATCTCACAAAGTTTTTCCGCCGCTTATCCTATCAGAAGTACAACCGCCGAAGAAACTAGTGATTGTCTCCTTCATTTTATTTCTCAATTTGGTATTCCTAAAACCATCCTAACTGATCAAGGTACTAATTTTACAGCTGAACTCTTCAAAGAAACCTGTTCCTTTTTAAAGATTAAACAATTGTGGTCTTCTCCCTATCACCCTCAGACACAAGGCGCCTTAGAACGGAGCCATTCTACTTTAAAAGAATATTTAAAATCCTATGTAGATGAATCTCAAACTAACTGGCCTCGATATGTGTATACTGCCATGTTAGCTTATAACACTGCTATACATTCCACTACTAATTATTCTCCTCACGAACTTCTCTTTGGTAATAAGCCATATCTTCCAAATTCCATTTATGAGCCCTCTTCTTCTGATGCTACATATTCCGATTATGTAAAAATGCTTAAACACCGTCTCCAATTCACTCGCGCAAAAGCAATAGAAAACATTCAAAAATCAAAAGAGTCGTCAAAAACGTATTACGATTCACGTTCAAAACCTGTTAGCTACAAAGTGGGTGATTACGTATTCTTAAAAAACCACCTTAGACTCCGTAAAGCATTATCTCCAATTTGGAAAGGACCCTATAAAGTCGTTAAAATTAATGGGAGAAATACATTAACACTTTTAATTAACAGACGTCATGTAACTCATCATTTTGATGAAGTAAAACTTGCGCGTCGCAATAGCGACCAATAAAAATAATTTTATTTAGGTATCTATTTTATTATTTCTAAATATTCTATTTCAGCTTTGCAATTTTGGTAAGAGGAAACTTCATCCAGCCTGTCAGGAAAAATCCTGGTATATATTTCGACCCCATTGGTTCCTTAAAAATTATAGACGGACATCTTAGTGTAGTAATTCCGACTGATATTTCATTTATTAAACCTCATATAGAAAACTTGAACGGTGTGATAGGCACCTCGCGATATCTATGTAAACAAAGTAGCGCTTTCACTGAGCTCGAATGTCATAATATGTTACAACCATTATCTGTTCGATACTACGACATAATTAGAGACTTTGAATCTATTTCTCATTTCATTGAGCCGAGATCCAAAAGATCAGCCTGGTTCGGTGGCATAGGCACCGCATTTAAGCATTTGTTTGGAACTATGAATGAAGACGATGCAATTATGTATAGCAGCGCCATTAAATCAGTAGAGAATGATCAATTAAAATTATCGGAATTAATGAAAGAAAATATTTTGATAACTAAATCTACACTTTCTTCTTATAAAAATATTATAGATGACATTGGTAATAATGAACAAAGATTAAATAGCGCTGTTGAAAGCATATCCAATAATATAAGGAACTTAACTTTGTTAACCGATAATTTAATTATAAAATCTAATTTAAATGAAATGCTAAATATGTTGGAAAGTAGTTTACTTACTTTATCATTTAAATTAGAGGACATAATTAATGGAATAATGTTTAGTAAATCTAATATTTTACATCCGTCAATTATTACCCCGAAACAGTTGTTTTCTGAATTGGTAAATAATTATCGATTTTTACCAAATTATAGACATTTTCCTGTAAATCTTTCATTGGACAACATGTATGTGTTATTAGATATATCCGAATTAGCTAGTTTCTATAATCAGTATAAAATTGTGTTTGTTCTTAAGGTCCCACTTGTGACCTCCAACGAATTTAGTTTATATAACTGTATTTCATTTCCAGTTTTAAACGAAATTGAAAATAAAACTTATACAACTATTATTCCATCGACAAAATATATAGGCATAACTAGAGATAGATCTTTATATTGTAAGTTAGATAATTTAGATAACTGTAAAACTCTATATAATATGTTTTTTATTTGTAACCTACTTAATGTTTATTCTAGCTCTGTAAATCCGATTTGTGAATCTGAAATAATTTCTAAATCCTTGAACTCTGTTCCAAATCTATGTGAAATTAAATTTTTTCAAGGTCATGTCGAAATTTGGCAAAGGTTAAATAATAATAAGTAGATTTATATTATTTCAGAGAAATCTAAGCTTTCTATTTCCTGTGAAAAATCTGTTGACAGTGAGTTAAGTATTTTTGGTACTGGATTCTTTAATCTTCCTATTAATTGTATTGCTTATTATAAAGACTTGATATTCATTCCTAAATCTATAAAAGAAATTGAAATTCCATTTTTTAATTCCACATTCGATTTATTAAATGATAAATGTTGTGATTTAAATGTTTTACAAAATCAAGAGAAGAGTATCCCTAATTTAACTCTGAAAAACATAGAACTCGATTCAATTTCATATGAGCATGACAAAGCCACGAGCCAAATTGTTAATGATTTAGATAAGATAATTAATAAACCCCATATTATTCTATACGGTGAATATTATTCCTATGCAACAATAATTATTAGTATTATTATTATTATTTCATTATGTATACTTTCATTTAAATGTATCAAATCGGGCAAATGTCACGGTTTATTTAAGAAAAATAACTCTAAATTTCATATTAAAGAAGCCGAAGAGCTTACAGAAGTTGCTACCAATTCCTCTGACATTCCATCACCCAAAATCCGCACTACTATTTCATAAACTTACCCCCTTTAAGGGTAAGTTTAGTCAAAACCCTGGGGGCTGTTATATATATGTTATGTATATAATGGCGCCTAGTAGCCCTATTCCTTCTCCTTGGTCAGCACTTTTGATGGTTCATAATTATTAAATATTAATTATAGTTCAGTTCGATTCCAACATCCGCGCGTGACACTTGCCCTAATAAAATCGGGTCCAATCTTTTAAATAAAAGTGTGTTTTATGTAAATCCAAGTTATTTTTTTTTTTTTTTTTTTTTTAAAAAACCAATTAGTGAAAAGTGCTATAACAGTACGAGTATGAACAGATTAATGCATAAACCAATATCTAAAAAAGTTCATAAAAAGTCCATATAAATTCCAAGCAAAATATTATTCCCTTGGGGCAGTTTTTTTTTAATATACAATAAAAGATTTTGATTTCAGTATATCTATACAGTGGTTTTTTTTTATTATAAATATATATATAATTATACAAGTGTGTGTTGCAGTCCGCCAACCCGCACTTGTCCAGCGTGGTGGACTATGGCGAGATCCTTGTATCGAATAGAGGCCCACCCCCAGCAGTGGGATATTAAAAAGGACAGAACACATGAACACACAATATATATTTGAACTGTTTTTACTCCTTTAAATTATACCAAGCGTTAGTGCTGATTCAAAGATAATTTTACTTTTATAAGTAACATTGTCATCACTGTTCCAGCGCATCGTGATCTCATACGCCCACGTACAATTAAATTAATGCTAAGTACAGGAGTTTAGATATAACGTTACCATTACAGCATCTTTTTGTTTCTAAAATTAGGAATTTTATATTACTAGTATTCGGTCAGTGAATGAAATTCAGCCATAATCATTATAAAATAAGCTGTTTCAAAAAATATTGATATCTACAGCTAACCATTAAAAAAAGAAATCGGTTGACAAACAGAGGAGAAAAAGGTATTGATTTGCCTTGCCTATAGCGATTTTTCAATTTTAGTGTGTTTGTGTCGGTTATTTTAAATATCAAGTTTGTCGTCTTATACTAGTTTTTGACTATTTGCTATTAGAGATCCCAAAAATATATTAAATAATGTAATGCTAATAAAATGTTCTATTTATTTTACGATACGTTTGATTTGCTGCGCCAGTGGTTGCGGGTTCGAGTCCCGCTGGGGGGCATTCATTTGTGTGATAAGCACGAATGAATAACTGGAGTACAAAATTCCAGTTATGGGTGTTTATATTTATAATATGTATGTATTTAAAGTTATATACGAGTATGTGTAGTGTATCAACTATCTGGTATCCATAACACAGGCCTCTTAGATTACCATGGAACTAGATGGTGCTTTGTGGTAATGTACCAACATATATTTATATATTTACTAACTGCATTTACCACAGGTCATTCTCATATTTATCCTCTTTAGTTAAAATTGATGATAGTAAGATAATATCTTCGGAAAACTTATTTTGTTGATCAACAATATAGTATGCGCGAGCGCACTTTAATAGTTATATAGTACCTTGAACTCGTCGTTGTATTCGTATTGGTAGTGGAACCAAGGCCACAGCAAGTAAGCGATTACTTGCGACCGCGTATATTCCACACTAACAGTGCCCGTGGCTTCGCCCGCGTTTATGCTACCAATAACCAAACTCTTCGGCTTTATATTCGACTTTCTAATATTTTGATGCTCAAAATATACCTAATATTTTTTATGCTTAAAATATACCTAATATTTTGATGCTTAAAATGAGTTTCGAATTAAAATATTTGTAATTTATTACTCTGAAATATAAAAATAGGGCATGTGCGATCTGCCTCGCGTACCAAGGGTTTCGAACCTACTGCTGAAATTATATTATTTTTAAAAACGTACATATATCGTTATAAATAAAGTTTTATTTAAAATGTCAAATATTCGCGTAAATCTAAGAAAGTATATAAGATAATAAATAATATAAATTTTTTTTTATTATTTTATTTATTTAAAATAAATAACATTTTAACTTTTCTTTACCCTTCCCCAAGAATGTATTACATTGTCGCACAATGATTATACCATAGAATAAACCATAGTAAAAATAAGTAAAAAATATATTTAAAATACACACGATAATAATTATGATTGATGCTTTTCTTGAGCCAGGCTTGTAGGTAAGTTAAAATAAACAAATAAAAATATTTTTATTTTTTTTCATTAAAATAGGGTTTTCCCGTTGTAAAAATTACTTTATATCATGACTCGGTATGCTGCCACGATTCTAATTTTCAATGAATACGTTCAGTGGTTTTGAAATGACCAATTTGAGCTCGAACTACATGAGAATTAATTTTGAATCCTGCTACTAATAGTTGTGTACAATTAATTATTGAAATTTTTGTATGAAGGACAAATTACCTGAATCTGTTATTGTGGTTTTCCGTAAGAATTTCCTGTCTTAAATGGTATCCTTAATATTGACTGTTGAGTAATAAGTTATCACTACACAAAATTTAGTTAAAATCTCATCAGTACTTTTTGAATGAAAAGCACACAAAAAAACAGACAAACATACAAAAAAATTAACAACTCTTGTTTTCAGGTCTACATTTATACACAATAAGTAAATTACTTTGATTGCAGCCACGGAATACAACAAAAATTCAAATCGACTTAAATTAATTAATTAGTAATTAGATGACTACTGATTGATGTTCTTAGTCTTCAAAGATAACCTTCAATCAAAGTCACTCGAGCATAGGTTACTGCTGCACTTGCACCTCGTATCGTCGACACCACGTGATGTATGTAGGGCAAATAAAAAAAAAATTGTTGGGACATTAACACGCAACACCATCTAGTTCCATGGTAAGCTACAAGGCTTGTGTTATGGATAACCAGATAGTTGGTACACTACGTATATATAACTTTATATAAATACATATTATAAATATGTATATAAGATAGAGATAATACTAAGATTCGTTAGAGTTCCTCTGTGTAACACGTACCAGTCATTGTTTTTTTTTTAATATTTCACACTTTATTACTGTTTTATTATATGTACCTATATATAGTGTTACTTTTAGTGTTATTTCTTTCTTCGTTCTCTTCTATATCTATTCTATATCTTATGGTCATTTCCGTGAATTGTTTATAAATTACTAATATGATATAATATTATTAATAATAATTTAAACAAATGCCGCGGACGTTATTTGCATCACTTTCCACAATCTATTTCTAATAACTGTGGAAAGCGGTAGTATCTATCTAAATCGTCAATGATGATAAGCGCAGCTAATCCTTTATAAAATACGGCTACACCGGCGCGTGCGCATCATTGTTTCAGTTGACATGGGGTCGTGTAAGGCGATAGGCATAACCGTTATCGTCCTAGTTGGACTTGGATTGATCGCAGGTGATTGAACTAAACATTACTAAATACTATCGTACTTATAATATTTTAAATTATACATCTAAATTAAAGCTATCGAAATTAATTGCCACGCAAAAAATATTTGGAATTTGCCTGAAAACATATAGGGCACTCTGTTTCGGACTACAAATATTTACTTTTTAAGTTATACCTAATTTCACATGTAACATGTTTTTAGGTATTATTACCTTGGCGGTGCTATATACGAATGACTCTTCGCCGCCTCCTCCAGAGCTCAAGCCGCTGGACTGGTGGCAACATTGCACGCTGTACCAAATCTATCCGCGATCTTTCAAGGACAGCGATGGAGATGGCATTGGAGATTTAAAAGGTACAAAAATTCTAAAATATCTAGCCTAAGACAATGTCATTTAAAATTTTACTCTTTACTGTATTTCGCGTTCTTTAAAAACACGTTTGGCTCAGTTTGTAGTGATCCTACTTGCTGTGCCGACGATCCCATGTTCGAGTCCCGCTGGGGCATACATTTTTTGAGCACGAACGTTTATACTTCAGTTGTGGGTGTTTATATTTATAATATGTATGTATTTTAAGTTATATATCAACTATCTGATATCCAGAACACAAACCTCGTAGCTTACAATGGAACTAGATAGTGCTATGTATTAAAGCAACATATTTATATATTTATTATTGTTTATGTTTCCTCTGTACGAAGTTAAAGTTTCTACTAGATTTTTATGATCTCCATATCATGTTAGTGAAAAATTAAATTAAATTACGTAAATTGTATTAGCAAAAATTTTGTCATAGGAATTACTATAGTGTTTTACCCGAACACATTTCCAAAACAGTTCCAAAAAACAAGAAAGTCATCGCATAATTATGTCAAATAATATTACAAAATCACTCACATATATTTGTAAAACACTAATAGAGATCTATTATTTCCCACGGGAACCGTTCATTTTTCCGGGATGAAAAGTAACCTGTTGTTTTACCGGCAATATATGAGGTATCAGCATGCCATTTTTTACTAAATTAGGTGCATAAGTTGTTGTGTACTAAGCTGTATAAGTTTTTTAACTATCCCACGGGAACTCTTTAATTTTCCAGGATAAAAAGTATCTAAGATGTTGCCCGGGGATATAAGGTACCACCATGCAAAATTTCATTTAAATCGGTCCAATAGATTCGGAGATTAGCCCGTACAAACAGACAAACAGACAAACAAAGAAACAATAAATTTGAAAAAAATCTGGATTTGTTCTATTTGTCTCCTTACATCCCCCTGACTCGGTTTTTAGCATTTTTTTTCTATGTACAGACATTCGACCTCTACTGTTTTATTATAGTATAGATTTTGTTACTTACAAACACTTTACTCCTAACAACATGTACAAACAATTACATGACGATTAACAAAAAAAAATCTAGCATTGCAATTACTTCTAAAAATATGGTTATTATGTAAGATAATGCTCGTTTTCAAGCCAAATTATCCATAATAGTGATGCTTATAATGTGCATGACCGTGCCAGCCAAGTATTAACAGAGTATGGTATTTGCATCGAATATTATATTTACAATATGGCTACACAGTATAGAACCTCACAAAGTGGTTGCGGTGACCGGAATGCCATAACGACTTCCTGCCTTCGCCCAAACAGAGCATTCAACGTAAACGTGAGAACGTACTCGTAATAATAATTGTTTTCTGAATGACGCTATTTCGAAGATAAGAACATTTCATATATTTACATTATTCTATCTCGTGACACATACTTGTAACATACTTTGATGGTAATATATTTAACAGTATACCTTGTGTAATTTTTATTCCAAAAAGACCTATATTCATATTTATTATACAGACAGACATCTATGCAAATGCATAATATTATATACGTATGGGGAACACAGTTACTTAATTCTAAAATTTAAACTATTACGTTTTTGACCGTATTTAATAGATAGATAGTTTGAGACTCTGGGAAGGACATAGGATACTTTTCATCCCGAAAACCATACCTTAAGAGTGTGAAAATGAGGATGAAAGTTTGTAGTTACACGTATTTTAAATGTTATAGGTATAACCCAGGAATTGGAACACTTCGTGGACGCTGGAGTGGATGCTATATGGATGTCGCCGATCTTTGCATCTCCAATGGTAGATTTTGGATATGACATCAGTGACTTTTACAAGATTCACCATGAGTATGGAACTATGGAAGATTTCGAGGAACTTTTAGCCAAAGCTCATGAATTAGGTAAGAAATTAATAATTCGCATCATGATTATAATAAAAACTTTTATGTCAAGGCTTTGTCCAAGCCACTTAGGTACTTTAGTAGATTTGTAGTATCATCTAACACCTTAGAACATTCTTTGTTACACAAAAAAAATTATCCTTTTGCACAATTTTTTTAAACATCTCTAAGACAACCACAAACTCAAAGAGATTTTTTGTTCCCAAATTAGCAGTACTCTGTGTGGTATAAGTTAAGTGTATAGTAGCTATTCCAGCAAGATCATCTTCTATTTCAAATATATGTAACTTCCACTTCCATAGCCAAAATTTTATATAGCTTATGAAAATGTTAAATGATTCTATGACATATATTTATTTTACAGGAATATAATTTAATTATCGATGAAGCAAATTTTCGCTTTCGCTGTTATTTTAATCCTTTAATCTTATCTAAGGATATAAAATAATTATTTTAAGTACGTATGAAAAACAAGATAGCTTAACTACTTATCTTAAATAATACATATGTTTTTACAAATATTAGATGTTAATCAATTATTAAAATCTATTTATATTACACAAATTCTTTTATCTTATAAGTACTTTTACTTTCGATAGCGATATTATCACGTTTGTCTAAATTATAATGTTTTTATATAATATGTGTAGATTATATTTACCTTAGTGTTACATTATGAAGTAAAATTTAAAAATATTGTGATAATTTTACAATAATTGTACCTACTCTATTTTAAATAATAAAACTTTTTGATTGCCGAGATCCATTTGCACACGTGCTAACATCTTTCACTCAAATTACAAGTTCCATATCTGTACTACGCATACGCTAGCATTCATTATACCTGTGATGTCAGAGCCTGGTAAAATCCCCATGAAATCCCATTAGAAACAACCATTCTGCGCTTTTAGGGAAAAACGTACTACGACGATTATGTATATGAAATATTTAAATAGAATATTTCCTATATAATATTTACACGCAATATTTTTTGTATCAATTAATATGAAATGATATATCGTTATTCCCCTAGGAATTAGAGTTCTTTTGGACTTCGTGCCCAATCATGCCAGCAATGAATCAGATTATTTCATACAATCTGAACGAAGGAACGCGACCTACGAAGACTACTTCATTTGGGATGACGGATTGCCAGATCCCAATAATGCTACCAATAGGTTACCACCCTCGAATTGGGTGAGTGTTTAATTGTCATCTAATTAAAACTGCAAAGCTGGTGATGGTGCTGATATATTTTTAATTGTAACAATCTTAACATTCCAGGTAAGCCAATTTGGAGGATCGGCTTGGGAATGGAGTCACATTCGTCAGCAATTCTATCTTCACCAATTCGCTATCCAGCAAGCTGACTTCAACTTCAGGAACCCAGCGGTACGCACCGAAATGATAAGGATTATGAAATTCTGGCTCGACAAAGGCGCTGATGGTTTCAGGGTTGATGCTCTCCCATATTTAATAGAAGCAGATCCAGCAGACCATGGTGGAAGATACCCAGATGACCCACTAAGTGGAATCATTCATTTCGAACCTCACCAATTAGGGTACACCATTCCACTCTACACCAAAGATCTGATTGAATTATACGACGTTGTATACGAATGGAGAGAATTCATAGATCGATATTTAGAGGATAACGGAGGAGATACTCGGTAAGTCGTTACGAGACTTATGTATGAAAAACTTTATTACGAAGATAACAGTCAATGATAAAACTTTTAATAAGGATCTCATAACTCAGACTCTCTCTTCAAAGTAAGACTAGGTTTCATGTAAAACTTCTCAAGTATAAAAAGTTAGAGGCTGTTTATAATAAATCATATAATAATAACTTTACTTTGTGGCTCTTTGATATGAAACTTTGTTGTCGAAGTCACTGCGCTTAGCGATAAATGGAAAGAAAATGAGCAGTGTGAAATAGCACATTATGTTATGTTTATATTACTTTACAAGTACACTTAAGAATATATTCAAATGTATAAACTTTTTTAATCCCCTATATAGAAAAATATTATTATTTCCTATCATATTTATTTATTTCAGAGTGATTTTCTCGGAGGGCTACGCTAATGTGACCATGACAATGCTCTACTATGGCAACGACGAGGGAGAACTTGGAGCTCATTTCCCCTTCAACTTTGACTTTATTACAGACCTATCTTCTAAATCAAACGCTAGAGATTTCGTCTACATCATTCTCAGATGGCTGACTTACATGCCCCATGGAGCAACACCAAATTGGGTGGTAAATATTTGCTGTGACTAACAAATCTTAACAGGATTTAGCTATAAATATGTGATAGCCTCCTATGATTTGTATTTTTCCACGACATTAATCCATAAATCCTTACTGATATTAATTTATCTTATCATTGTGTATATTTTAAATTATATCTTCTAATTTAATTAACGTTATTCATAGATTTATCAATGTCATAAACCTCAAAATTATTTTCAGTTCGGTAATCACGACAATAACAGAATGCCAACACGATTCCGTGATAATATGGTAGATGGTTTAAACGCCCTAAATATGTTGCTGCCTGGTGTCGCTGTAACCTACCAAGGAGAAGAAATCGGAATGAAAGACGGCTATGTTAGCTGGGAAGACACTGTCGACGTGGAAGCAATCAATCGTGGAGATGAAGACACTTATATGCTATATTCACGAGACCCAGCCAGAACACCGTATCACTGGAATAACTCGACCAATGCAGGATTTTCTACCGCGAACAGAACGTGGTTACCAGTTGCTGAGGATTACAAGGAAAATAATTTAGCTAGACAAAAAGAAGAACCAATTAGCCATTTCAAGGTATCGTATAATTTCAACTCATACAATGCCTTTTAATTATTAATTTCTTTTAAATACCTACCTATATATAATACAAGTATTCAGCCTTTTTTCACGTCCCATTACCGCGCCACCACGCTGGGAAAGTGCGGGTTGGGGGACTGCATATGTTTTTTGAAAACTTGCTAGATTCTGTCAGACCTTCACCGTAAGGCAAGTGGTAACCGTGTTGGAAAAGATTCACAAATGAAACTATCAGAACTGCGTGATCCGGGATTTGAACCAACTTCACTCAGTTTTCCAACTGAGTGCGTTAACACTGGGCTACCACTGCTATATGGCAAAGATATTTAAAATTGATATTCTCCACAGGTTTACCAAGCGCTAACAGCTCTTCGTCCGGAAAAAGCACTATCTCATGGAGAGTACATTATAAGGGCATTATCGGATCGCACCCTGTACTTGGTGAGATATTTGAGGACATATGACACCATTGTACTGCTTTTCAACGTATCAGATGCTCCTGATACCATTATACTAGAAAGAGTGATGCATTTAAAACTCCCAGCTACTGTCTACGTGACTAGCGTACATTCACAGAGGAAAGCAGGGTGAGTTAGAAACCTTTAGTAATATTACCTAATATCATAATATATAAGGAACTTGTTTGTCTATTTTACGGTAAACAAATTTAGATGAAATTTGATATAGCGATCGTTTATATCCTAAAAGCTTGCTAATGATGATTATATAAGGATGCTGAAAAAATCTTGTATTAGCAAAAATACCTTTTACAGAATCTTTTTATGATATTTCACATGAATTTGAGAATATTTTTGTAATAATCGTCAATTTTTTACAGTGATGTGATTGACGGAAGAGAACTCAGACTGGAAGCCGGTGAGGCATTAATATTAAAGGCTGAACCTGTATCGTGATACAAACGTGATAGATCCTGAGATTATGTATAAGACTTATTTGACCTGATGAGCACGTATTTTTAAGTCTTTAGTTTAAATTTAGCTGTAACCATAACCATATTTAACTTTTGAATACTTCAACAAAGAAAAAATGCTTTTCACTTAAGCCAAGCCTCGTACAAATGAACTAAGTAGCGGTAGGTAGTATACAACATCAAAATTTAGTTTTTAAAATTAAGTATAAGTTGAATAAGAAATCATGTCCAGGAATCGAACCTTCGACCTTCCATACAGTATATGTATGTTAGTACAATCGTAAATATAAACTGCTATTTATTGTAATTGTAATAATGTAAATAAAGCTATATTAGCTTGCTTCTGTTAGCGAATCACATAGTGTGTATAGTTGTATATATTATGTATAATGTTTTAGTCTACTAATAATAAGCCTAATAAACATAAAACTTTGTGTTTTAATATTATTTTCGTATTTCTTCTTCCTTTCAACTATCCATATTAAAAATAAAGTGATTTTCATAATACAAAAATGGACGCACAATCGATGATGGTCATATTTTTTTTAAATTGCAAATCGTCAATGACACACAGAAGCCTAGTTTGAAATTTAAAAAATCCATACTTAATATTATAAATGTGAGTGTTTGTTTGTTTGTTTGTCCTCCTTTCGAAACGGAGTAGCGGTTTGGCGAGATTTTTTGTGTGGAGAGAGTTGGAGAGCTGGAGAGTGACATGGCTACTTTTTATTGCGGGATATTACTTAATTCCCACAGGAAAACACATTATAATACAAACCAAAAAAATATTTATTATCAGAATTATTTGAATCTTGATATATATACTCTTCAATAAAATTAAATATATTTGTGTGTTTAGGATTTTTCAAATCTCATCCTATAAGGGGGTAAAATACTGGATGAGAGTTTGTACGAATCTACCTTTTTAGAGATTGTTTTGTAGTTTTAGCGCGAGCAAAGCCGCGGGCTCTGCTAGTATATATATATATATATATATATATATATATATATATATATATATAAAAATTATACAGTAAATTCATTAAAATATCATTCGTTAAAATATGTACATTTTAACATAAATATTTGGGGAAAGCTGACCACATTTGGTTCAAAATCCAAAACGACGCGGTTGCGGCGCACCGCGTTCCCTTCGATCAGCGTTTTATTTCACGAACTTGTTACCAACATTATCGTTAAATATTTACCATTAAAATGACCATAGTGTTGCAAAATAGCATGACTAAATGATGTTGCTAACTGTGCTGGTAATTTTGGGTTTAATTTTAATTTTGTTTAGGATGTTAAGTTTGACCTGTAATTAATATCTATTGCAAAAATAAATCTATACATAAACAGGCAAAGACAAAACAGATCAGTCCCTTTGCCTCCTCCTTTTGTCAACCGTTTTTCTTTGTAGCTGTTCACAAACTTTAGTGTTATCAATTTAAAAAAATTATAGTCAAACTGCGACCACTGGGCGAACACCCTTATACTATAAACAGGCATCGAACTCGCAACAGTTGTCGTAGAACTCAATGATTTTATAGTCAAAACCTTCTAGAAGGACATGAATGTGTATATAATAGAGCACTGAAACTTTATGAGCTCAGTACAAGTATTCAATACATATTTAACATAATGGGATATTGGTTTGAGAAGCAGACGGTTACAGAATAGACTCCCGCATCTAGAAAGCGGACCTTAACGATCGGATGCGAGACGAGTGAGCCTTTCAGTTGGAGACTATTTTTAAATCTCGATCAAATTACTAACACAAATGTGGAAGATATGTCGCGTGAAATTTTATAATTTTATCTTCGTATATAAACGTCTTATTTAATGACTTATGAATATGTTATTAACCACTAAGAAATAGAAACAGGGTTTTTAAAATATGGAGAATATTTAAATATTCTTCATATTTTAAAAACCCTAGAAGCACGAACAATATGGAGAACAATCATAAAAGGTTAAAAAGCTATATTGTTACGGCGATAACAATTCACGTTGCCATTTTCAATATGAAAGATGATTTGACGGCCATTTTCCATATTTTTGACAGATTAAATATATGACAGATTAAATATAACTGTTACAGATGACATATAACCACATTATATAATAACCTTCGAGACATCCAAAACCTTACTCTCTCCCGCGACCATGATTGCTATAACGCGTTCGAAACTTCGGGAACCAAAATGAAAATAAATCTACGACAAAATCCCCAATAGATAATTTTATTTAAAATGTCAAATATTCGCGTTAATCTAAAAAGTATTTATTTTTGTCTATGTTAAAAAAAGAAGAGTTACTCTATAAATCTGACTATATGTTTTTTTTGTATGTTACGTAAAAAAAATATAGCTGGATGGTATATCATATTTGCCAGGTGTGAATTAATTGTCATAGTTCTTTTTGTAATGATAAGTTTTACTTACATTATTCATTACAAGAAAATTACAAGCTCGAAAACACATTTGTAAGATTCCAATATAATTTTCAAAAATCTTTCCACCTCTAAATCTGACATGAATTGACTCAGGTTTTCTTTTTTTTTGTAAAAAATAATTGCTTATTGTAATAAGTAATAAGTAGTTTTGGTTTAGTGTATATAATATTACCATAAATTTTCCAGTTCAACGTGTAACGAAATGTAATTCTATACGAATATTACATTGTAACAATAAATATAACAAAGTGTAAGTTTCTACGTCAGCGATGCGCATCACGAGGGCCTCTCTCGCCTGAAGAGTTATGCTCCCGGAAGGAATTGTGTCAGAAAAATTGCGTTCAGAAAACACTATATGAAAGTTTTGTGACATCCTCATATTTCATACCATAAAATTAAATAAAAGTGTCATATCCGTTTTATTTGCAAGTGTCATCCCATTTTGTATGCGCAATGATTTTCAGTTTTCTATACAATATGTAAATGGAAGAACAATGAATATGGTGTCGTTTTGATATGAATTACTGAATGTCCTTTTGTTGAATGGTAACAATTTGCATTAATTATGTTATTTACACATAGTTAAATTACAATAATGATAAGCTCGTAACCTGCTACGAGCTGTTGGATTTATTGTCTAAGTCAGCCTTTATTATTGTCTAAAGACACGAGCTATCCTGTCAGATTTTCAACGTGGTTGATGAGGAGTAGGTAAAAGTATTTATTAAGTTTTTCATATTTTCCATAATTGGCAATACATATAATTGGCCTGTGAGGTTTTTGGGAAATTCCCTATGTTATTAATAATTCCGACCGATGCGTCACACTAAACAAATTTCTAAGCCTTTTAAAGCACCGGTCTTCTTTGAACCCATGAAATCCAGACAGATAAGACAATAACAATTCAATTTTATATAAAACAAACAGTATAATAAAAAGTCGCTATTTCCATCAGTTAATTTTATATAATAATTATATATTTTTATGCAATTATACTATAATTTAGTAAAATATTCCAAATAATAAAATGATAAAAAGAGCGAAAGATAAAAAGATTATAACAAAAACCAAAATAACATATTTCGTGAAACGTGAACCTGTGACCTTCGCGAGTACCAACCAATCACAAACGCACTGTGCTATAAGTACCACAAAAGGTTATTCATATATATGCTATATAGCAGGAACTCAAAATAACTTGAGGGTAAAAGGTATTCTACGTCAGTCTCGTTATAAATACCTCTAGCTTTCTGTCTCACAAAGTAGAATTCCAAAACCCATATCCAAAATATGGCGAAAAAACTCAGCAAACTGAAATAATTTTGAAATAATAATCTTTAAACGTACGCTATATATTCTAAGAATCCATAAAAACATTATAAATGCGAATAAAACTCTGTCTGTTTGTCTGTTACATTTTCACGCTTAATCCGCTGAACTGATTTAGATGAAATTTGATATGGAAATGGTCTGAAAACCTGGATAGGATATAGGGTAGTTTATATCCCGGAAATCATCCTTTGAAAGGTTGAAAGGGGAGGGGGTGTAATTTTGTATAGAAAATCAATCATTTCTCAAGTAAGCGATTTATTTTTTTATATTTTTAAAGTACCTACCTACTTGTCTATACCTATGTATATATAGTCTCTCTATGCCGAGCGAAGCGAGGGTGAGTCGCTAGTATATTATAAATTGTAAACATAATTCATTAATTATTTGCCGGTACTAAACTGATTTCAGCAATTTTTAGAGATCCCAAATGGCAAAAAGGGAGAAATCATAATTTCATCTATCTGTCTCTATGTGACAGCCAATTTAATTGAAGATATTGAAGCTATTTGATTAAGAAACTATTTTTACATTAATTTACTACACATTTATAATTAGAAAAAATATTATGGCTGTTGATATTCAAACTTAATATATGGACGAATATAAAATAATTATTCGTACTATAACAGGACGAATAATAAATAAAAAGGACGCTGTTGCTATTCGTCCTATAACCGGATGAATAAAAAATATATTATTTGTCCGACTAATGTCGATTTGTACGAATATTTAACACTTTTATCTTTTCTATATAAGTGATTTTTAGGTGCAGGAGTTTCCGTATGCAAAAAAAAACCTTAGCCCACCGAGCTGAGCCAAGCTACTTATTCTACTTATTTACGAGTCTATTAGTCCTTCCTTATTATTATTATATTTTATATAAAGGACGAATAATTATTTTTTAAACCCCCTATTTTAAAGGACAAACAGACACTCCGAAATATTATAGCAAATACTATATTTTACAATAACCCCAAATTCTATTCGAACCCACAAAGGAATGTTAGATTGTTATAGTTACCTGTACCAAATAGCTAGTTGAGTTTTACATCGACGAGTTTGTATTCGTATTGCATTGCCTGTAATTTAATTTTACACAACGTTTATTTTAAAACTGTAACATTTTTGTCAGTTTGTATCAAAACAAAATATATAGCAGCCTTCCGCCATTTAGCTATTGCGCTGTATAACGATTGAATGGCTACATTTACATATGAAAAACAATTCCAATAATGAAAAAAACTGTATTATGTTTTTTTTTCTTCTCTAGTTAATAAACAGACATAATCTTCGTTTGTTCGTTTTCTACATAATTTGAGGTTCATATAAATAAATAATACATACATATTATAAATATAAACACCCGTGACTGGAGTACAAACATTCGTGCTCATCACACAAATGAATGCCCCCAGCGGGACTCGAACCCGCGACCGTAGGCACAGCAAGTAGGGTAACTACAAACTGTGCCAAACATGTCGTCATATGTATCTCCACTATGTACGTTTATCGAAGCGGGAACCTAGCCCTCGACCACTAAAACACCATTCACTGGCGCACAGCCACAGCAGCTATGATATCCATAAAAACGATTTCAAACTTTTAATGCACATACATATTGTTACAAAAGATCAATGTTTTAATTGATGACATCCAATTAACAAGTTGTGGCGGAGACAAAATCACGTACATAAAGCGTCACGTGCACGGCCAAATACCAGATGGAATCGAAATTGAAAGGGAAATGAGAGTCGATCTCTCTTGCCATCACAACGCTGTCATAGAAATGATGATGTAAGTTTATTAGAGGAAATTTCCTAGAATGAATAAATTATACGCTGAAACGTATTCGCTTCAAATTTATTTTTTAAAATTTCACGTTATGTTCTTGTATTGTCCATGTTATTTATTTAGTTAAACTAAAGACATCGATTAATCCCTCAACGACCGCGGGCACCCGGTGTTACAGTTTGTTAACTGAGTTTGTTAATTTCTTAGAAATTTACCTTAACGGAGGAGTTAAAGCTATTTTCATATATATAATATATATACTATGTTTCAGTAATATAGACAATGTAGTGTTAATATTCTTTTATTTACTATATTTATGGTAAGAATCAGTTATTCCTTTAAGCCGGGCCCTAATATTCATCACAAATTTCTCTAAAACTAATCTAATATTCAAATCCAAATTTGAAAGCGTTTAAAATAATTTATAAGAAAAACTAAATCTTTTAAAATTAAATAAGTATTTCTTCTTTTCCCGCCCCTTTCTTATAATTGTCACGAGCTATATATAAGCTGATTTCTGCCATTTTACGTTAATTATAACAATATTATCTGTAAAATTATGAATTTATAAGTACCCACCAGCCACCAAAAACTTGACAATAATATGTGTGTTAAACTGACACTTTAATTTGATTAAATATATATGAAAAAATAAAATTTTGCGTTTCCAAGAAACGTGATACAACGGACCAGTCATGAAATCATAGATCACAACATAGCCGTACTAGGCTATGATAACAGACCGACCCCGCAATTTGCCGCCTAACTGAATTACCCTGCAATAACAGCACTTCCGCCCGGCTTGATAGTGATGTTCTGCGCAACGGACAAGCCATTTTATATACATATATGTTATCGATAGCTATCTAGTGTAACGTAGTGTTAAAACTTTAGGATTTTTTTACAATATCTAAATATAATATAGTTGTAATTTTTTTATTGTACAGTAGCGTTAATTAGTGCATTTACAGTAAATACACACTACACAATATGAACTTAATACTTTCTTAGATTCGTTTCGAATGCTTTACAGCAATCATGGTCACGGGAGAGACTGACGTGTTAGATGTCTCGAAGATATAGTTGTTACAGACAGCCTACCCACAAATAACAAAATGAAAATTGCCCCAATTACCTTACAATATTTTTTTACTTTATTTATAAAAATGTTTAAAAGATAGTTTTATTAAAAAAGTATGAACTTAATATAGATCACATTATATTCAACCACTAGTTTTGGCTACCACCATCACTTCTTATCGCTTCTCAATTTTCACTTAACTTTGAGTTTAGTACAAGTTTGAAATTAAGTGTAGATTGAGAAAGTCATTCGATAAAGGGGGAACCCCTTTATAGTTAAAACAAAGAGTTAGATTTCTAGAAAATATTCTGTCTCTTTCATACATATTGCAATTTCCTATCATAAGGATAAGGATTAGGATAGGATATCGTCGTAGATTGACAATATCCTATCCTAATCCTTAAGCATGATGTTTGCGCTATTTAAAAACCTCATAAAACAAAGGAATTAATTTTTTTTAAATGAAATAAGGAAAATATTTCATTTATAACTAACGAATGCATTTATTTTCAGACGAATTTAGAACACGTCATCATGGAACGTATAAAATGTATTATTTATCTAAAAGTTAGGAAATAAGATATTTTACGAAGCCATTGTTACAAATATCAAGGCCAAATATTAACAATCAGAAATTTTTGCTTCTATACATACAAAACTATAACCTGCAAAATTCACGTCCAAACATTTTATCGCATAGATTACGTCTCTACATCACGGCCACTATTGCATTTTTAGCTATTCGCACAAATCATGTGGTTGACCGCGCTTGTTCTGACCACGCTACTCGAAGACGCAGCATCAACGCCGTGGTGGAACAATGCCCTGTATTACAGGATCCTGGTGGACTCCTTCAAGGATATGGATGGAGATGGACTTGGCGATTTGCAAGGTAGTCAATAAATGCAGTTAAGTCATGACGTAAAACTGAAATAGTCTCTATTTACATATTGTTTTAACTTATAAATTATAATTGTTATTATTAATGACAATAAGTCAATTGTTAGGATAGGCACTTGAGAAAAATTGAAACTTTGGTGCCTAAAAATATTGTGTATATGTTTAAGTTATATATACCTAATATTAACTAAAGTGTAAAAAAGTCAAAAGCAATAATTACTATAAAATTTGATAGATCTATTCTTAAAATCGGACAAAAAGTATTTAAACTAAAATCCACAGCTACATACAGATGTAGAAAGTACATAAGAAAAAAAGTCCTTTTATAAGCCAATTTTTTTTTTTTTGCTGATTTTCTTATGCTGAACTTTAAAATATTTTTAGCTATTTTATTTAAAGTAAAAATAAGCTTTGGAGAAAATTAGCTAGAAAATAAAGAGAAGTTGGTTTATATAGAATTAAAAGAATCATTAATGTAGCTATTGGTATGTCTCACACATCCACTACTACGCTCTTCCAATACTTTCAGAGAAAATGAGATGTGACAAACAGACAGAGATATTATAAGGATTCCACTTATATTAATTAATATTTTTTAACTAAAAAGATACAATAGATTCAAAATCACTTCTAAGGTCACTATTAAACTCTAATCCCAATTAAACTAACTATCCATTAATAAAAAATAATAAACGACTTCCAGTAGACACAAAAAGTAAAAACTTAAAAAAGTAAAATAAAACTATCTCTAAACACTAAAAAGTAAAAAATAACTGAACGGGGTTTTCATTTCCTAAAGATATCCGGATATTTTCGGAGTCGATTTTTGGAAGTCGCTTAAAAATTAAAATATACATTAAAAAAGTCATGAAAGAACTGCTGTTTATTCTTGAAGGTGTCGATTAATGCAAACATACACAAGGGTTGAGTAACTCCTCCTCTTTGAAATCGGTAAAAAATATACTGATGAAATGAATAAACAGGACGTAGAAGAAAAGGAAATACGTTTCAATTTCACAAACGACATGTGAATAACAGATTTAATTTGGTGTTATTAAGTTAAATTAGTTTCTGCTTGATGACACGTACAATGAACAAACGTAGGTGTGCTTGTAGGTATTTCATTAGTTTTAGGGCCTCCATACACAGGCACCTGCCCGGCCGCCTCTCTTCAGTCGGGCTAGTGCACTAGTCTTTTATAAAATAGTAAATACATGATGCCAATGAGGATTTATAAAGAAAAATTGAACAAATATCTTATTACACTATCTCGGTAGTAAATTAACAACATGTCGAATGCGACGTCTCGACGACAACAACAAGATTACTGCCTTCTGCTGTGCTCATATTTTATTATTTGTAAAGAATATTAATAATTTAATAATAAGCTTTGGATGAGAAGCGTCGAGATGTCAATGGTGACGTAAAGCTGATATGTAAAATTCGAAATATCGTTTGTGCATGTTACATATTTTATAATATAAAAGTGGCTCGTATCTAGTAATTTGGATATAAGTTTTTGAAATAACTTATATCCAAAGGAAACATCTTAATAAAGTCAAGTAAACGTATTATACGTCATTTTGGCTAATAAACTATGAAAAAATGTGTTAATCCTAAACACACAGATACATTTAAAATAAAACTATCTTTTCGGATTTTTCGCGTATTTATTTTGATTTTTGGTTCCCGACGTTTGGAATGCTTTACAGCAATCATGGTCACGGGTGAGTCTCTTCCGTGACCATGATTGCTATATTTTTATTTAAAATATCAAATATTATGAGACACAGATATACGTTAGAATTTATAATATTGCGAAATATGTATATACTCGTATATATTATTTTTCAGGCGTTACTAAACAGCTAAGCTATGTTCGTGCATTAGGCGCAGACGCTGTCATACTATCTCCAATATCTTCAAGAAGCATGGACTGTAGCAAGCCAGGCACCATGGACTTCGTCGATATCGACGAGCGATATGGAAACATAGAACAGTTCACAACACTTATTGAAAAGGCAAAGAAATTAGGTACGTGCTAATTTTTTCATGTTGATTTTATTTTCATACTGGATGATAGAAATTTTTCGGATGTGAAATTCGGACTGAGCGAACTTTTGCCGGACTTATATTATTGAAGTTAAAGAAAGTAAAATTTTGTATATTTTAAACATAATGAACCCGTGGTATCTAGAAATAAACTCCATTCAATCGTTTTAAACCCAATTTTAACTTATTTATGGCTAATGTTTCTCCATATTATGCCATATCATTGCACGAAGAATAATATAAGTTAGCTTTTTTGCTATTATGTGGTTGAGGCTTCATGTAGCTGACGTTAATAACTAGCTAAAAAATACTTTAAAAGGTATTTTTGTAATAATAAATCCAATTCTTAACCACAGAGCTCAAAGTGCTAGTGACATTGCCGCTGCAGACGATCAGTGAGAATTCCGAGCTGTTTAATTTTAGCGCCGAACGCAAGGCTGGTTTCGAAAATAAAGTTATATGGAGAGAAGGATCAACCGATGAGCAGCCTGTGGTACGCTCCAAATATAATCAAATGTCAAATCTCAGATAACCAAGTATATCAGAAAAACTATTTATTACTTAATGTTATTCTTTTACTCTGAAGTTTGAGGGGTTTTTTTTCAATCTTACTTACTTCTCTTGTTTATTTTTAAAGCTATATAAAAAACATTATCAATTTTCTAACACTTGATAAATAATTAGTAATAACGATGTTATATTTTTTACCCCCAGAATGAAATAGGAATCGATAATTGGACTTGGCATGACGATAGAAAAGCATATTACGCTTCTTCCAGTAAAGAAGTATTGTTTAACCTGTGTTCTGAAGAACTAGTGACGATGTTATCTGACGTGCAATGTACATGGTTAAGGCGAAGGGCATCAGGCGTATTGTTACAACCTGATTTCCCTTCAAACATCGATTGTGGTGTGCAATTAATTGAGAAACTAGTGGTCGCAGCCATGAGTTGTTCTCGTACTACGAATATGGATGCGCCGTAAGATTTATACAGTTTAAACCTTTTTAAAGACTCTTTATACTTTGTTTTTTATTAATATGGATTTACTATTTGTTCTATTATTAAAACCAAGGAAAAACATAACAGTCTTACGAAAAACTGGTAGCGCCTGATAAAAATAATGAGCAAATAAACTATAAGTGAATGTAATAAATATTTTCTCTCAGGGTAATCCTAGTAGAAACATCGTTTGGAGCAGAAATCGGCGTTAAATACTATGGAGAGAGCGGTTTGGGTGCTAATAGCGTAATAAGTTACGCTTTGGCTGAGACGAAGCCCGCAGCGGGGCTGGCGCTAGCGCTGCACGCTGCGATACTCTACCCGCCGCAGGATATGAACCCGACTTGGATCGTAAGCTTTAATATAGAGCTATATTCTTATCGAAATAAATCTTACATCGAAATTTCTTTTACAGAGAAAATCTAAGTTATGATATTATGGAAAGGTTACAACGTTACATGTTATTGAAATGGATATGTAATTCAAAAGATTTAGAACAAAAATGAAGGAACGCCTATGACAATATTGAACCACAAAATCTGTGTACTAAACTATCTGTAGGTGATTCGATACTATGTTAATAAAGGGTAAAAATTAAAATGAATGACTTCATACCAATAATAAAGTAATATATAACATACTAGCATTGTCCGCGGCTCCACCCGCGTACAGATGACAAAAAACTAAATTCTTAGGTTTTACATATTAGTATACTCTTATATTTACAGTTTTTGTATTTTTTCTCAGAAATAAAAAGTAATCCTATATTTTGACCCGGATAACCAGCTATCACCGTACCAAATTTCATCAAAATCCCTCCAGTGGGTTTTCTGTGATGCGGTAACAGACAGACAGACAGACAGACAAAAATTCTAAAAACTATAGATTCGGCCTCGGTATCAATAATAAAGTCTATTTCAATAAGATTTTCTAAAAAATATTTAATGTACAGATTTGACTTAGTTAGAATTTTATTATATGTATAGATAAGTTTTCTATGAACATAAATAACTTTTGTAGAAGATAGTGAAGTTGGTTTAAACGTGTATAAGTTATAAGTTACGTTCCAGCGGTGGCTGCCAAGCGACCGGCTATTTTGGCGTTACGTAGACTAACGTTGCTATACGCGCTACAACATATGAACCCCACTTGGCCCATGAGTCAGACCTAAATATCGACTCATGCCGCTGTCACAATAAACTACGTATACACCGTGTTTCAACCCTAACTTTAGGGGATTTTGTTTTAAACTTATGGCAGTCTAGAATATGTATGAAGCTATCTGCATACAAAATTATACATGACGTACGAGTTCAGAACAAATTTCACATAGAGCTAATTTTTTTTATATTGTATTCCTATATGGCATGGGTATCACTAAGAAATGCTTATTTTTAAAGTAAAACATTCTTGCCCTAACTACTATAGTAATATTGCTAGGCATATGTCAATATTTTCGTTCGCTAGTTGGTATGATAAGTAATTTCGTGGCGTTCTAAACTTAGTATAAAATAAATGTTAGAATGAATAATATGAAGTATAAAAATACTTTACAATACTTTTCACCGTTAGTCGCGATCGACATTAAAAAGCCTGTTGCTCGGGGATAGTGTTGTTTTCTTTTGCTGAAAGATTTAAAAAACAATTCAGTAGTTCTTATTACATATAACATTATTTTGTACATACAAACATATTTTACCTCTTTATAACAGTGTGAAATGTATCATAAATGGTTTTTTGATGTACATATTTATTTTTGGAGATGATTGGTTTAATTCCCACTTAATCGAATGTTTATTTTGGTCGTAACATTTTGTAACAGTTCCATTAAAATGTAAATAAATTGTTCCTATACGTGATGGAAACGCGTAGATTTTTATTCCTTCTGTCTACTTCTTTAAACATATATTTAACATACACTTTTGCAGACAAGTATAAGCAACAAAAGTCGAATAGCATCACGACATGGAAGTGATATGGTGGATGCAATTACTATGTTGGCCCTTACATTACCCGGAGCTACTATAATTCAACAAGGAGACGAATTGGGTTCAGTCGATACTATCTTGGAGTGGGCTGCTATCTCCAAATGCTGGCCAACACAAGGAGTTCCATCAGCGGCACCTTTCCCCTGGGATGATACTCCTAAAGCCAGCTTTACAACAGGAGAACCCTGGTTACCGTTGTCCCCAAATTACCGATATGCTAATGCGAAGACTGAATACGCCAATGATTTAAGTCATTTCGGAATCGTTAGAGTAGCGTCTGCTATGCGAAACTCATCTATTCTAGGACCACATGTAGAGGTAAGTTACTATATTTTAAGAAAATTCCCAGCGACTATTAAGAATGGTATTATAATGGTTATATAAGCGTTATATTTATTAACGCAAAAAGTATACATATACATTATTTAATCCATTAATTATTCTGAAATATTTCCATACTAATAAATTTTCAGATAAAGCGAATCGGGGACGCGCTCGCAATACTTAGGTGGGGTGGATCAGGCTCCCTTTTGTATATTTCGAATTTAGGTCGAGGACAATCTGAAGTCCAACTTTCAAGGATACCTGGCCTTCCCACAGAAATGACGGTAGCTATTAGCTCTTCTGGATCAAGTCTTTCGCCTGGATTTCATGTTAATTTAGATAAAGTATTGAAATTAAGTTCTGGTGAAACCGCTTTTTTGGTCGGATCTCCAAGACATTGCGGTGGTCCAGGACCAGTTGACAAGATTGCAAATAAGTTATCTGAAGGCTGGCAGAAAATTAACAAATATTTTAGCAGCCTTTAATATGGGAAATTATAATTTATATCACTTCCTAGTAATTGTAATCATATGTTTTGATGAATGGGAATAACTTACATGACTTTTGATGTTGAAATTGTACTCTGACACCGAGTATTGATAACACTTTATCTAAATCGTCATTTATGTATGGCCTTAACCAAACAAGTTGTGAATTTTATTTTAATAAATTACTTCCTTTTCAATTATATTTTCATTTTAATCATATAGATATATGATTAGGTGTACGTTGTCACGTTTGCCACCTTGCATAAAAGGAGTAAGCAGGCCACGTTCAACAACAGGAGTGTAACCTCATACTCGTCGTACGGCGACGCTACGATCGGACATCAACCTACATTCGTATTGTGCATTTCATTCCCTATTGTGTTTTCAGTATGACCTATTTTCCTATGAATCTTATGAGCTATATCATTTACATACGCGCCTCCTTATGTGGAATTACACTTTTAATAACGCTGAGTGATGGGTAGAACAAATTCAATATCGACGTAATGGTTGCTTGTATATTTTTTATCTATACTTATAATAAAATTGTAACCGATTACTGTCAGTACATTGAAGATATTTGAGAAAATCTATTATTGGGAGTCTTTATTAACGCAATAGAATCCAAAAACAATGATTTTTTGAAGTTTTGTCTGTTTGTCTATGCGTTTGTGCGCACTAATCTCAGCAACAGCTAAACCGATTTGGATGCAGTTTTATTTAGTATTTGTTTTATTTCATAAATGAAAAAGTTATATGAATTTAAAGAAACACCTAGGAACAAACTCGAGCGAAACAAGGATGAGATGCTAGTTAACATATATGTACATAACAATATGTACATACATGAGTTCATTCAAACAGTTGTAAATAACATTTTAAATAATAAAGAATAATAATTAATTAACTAATCAGTCGATAATGCGGAAGTATTTTAAGACTAATTACTTAGCTTGGTTTAGAGATAAATCGATAACTTCTTATTCTTACAAGAAGATTTAACGCAAATGCAACCTACCTGTACTTAAACACTTTTTAAAATAATATATTAATGTTGTAATATATTAATTTGATGAGAAAGTAAATAAATTACACTGTCTCTACATCGTGAAAAGAATAGATAGAGACAGACAGGGTAAGGAATTCCAAAATGGAGTCATCGGAACCATAAAACCGCGAACTCCACTTTCGAACCGCCATCCGGCAGAGGGCGGGTAAATGCCGGTTGTAAATCAAAATTATAGCTAAATTCTAAAAAATCATGTATTAAAGGTGTACTAAAATGTAGATAAAAAACAGTTTTACGTACAGAATTTGCTCTTCTCAGCATTGGCGGTAGTTAGGCAGAAAAGCGCGAATAGCACGGCTCGCGCCCTCATGGCCGCGGCGCGGGCTCCCGGTGCCCGGCGCGGCGCGGACTGGCGGAGGCTATCGACCACCCCAATGTATGACATGCGCGGGTCGCACGGGGTTGCTATATAGCAAAATGTTGATTCAACATCAAGGAAATAGGGGAACGTTTAAAAATAAGGGATTAATGGGCTAATGTTTTATTTAGTTTGTTTAATAATATTTATTGAAGGATGTTCAGTAAAAATATGTAGAGATTGTTACAAAATCTTTAAGAACTTATCATACAAAATAAGGTAAGCAAAAGTAATCATATTATAAAATTTACAATGAAAAATTTATGTGATAACTACCATATTTGTAAAAAATATATTGAACTATCGGAATAAATTATATGCAATTTATGTAAATTCAAAATATAAATTTATTAAAGTAAAATCCACAATAATCGCATGCGCACAACTACAAATATACGCTAACGTTATATAAACCACTCGTCACCGACCATATAACTTTCTATAATAAAGTATAGCAACCCGGAAGTGAAAATAAAGATAAAAAAAATAAACAGATAAGAGAATAGATCCCTCTAAAGTCGTTGTTAGTCTCGAACCAGCCATGGTTAGGTCCTCACGACCAACACCGACTTCTCAAGTTGACGCATGGAGCCTTCCCTAGCTGATTGCCGTAAGTGTCTTGCCCCCCGAACACTCCCCCTTCCCCCCTTTCCACTCCAAAGTACTCCTGATCCAAGTACCACTCAACGCAGTACAAGGACTCTTGAGACATAAAGGTATCTTTTTGACAGTTCAGGAGTACAGGCAAAGTAAAAGGTAGGATTACTGATGAGTGTAAGGTGAGATAATGTGGTTCGACGAATGTTATATTTATTGGAAATCCCAATGATTTACACACTTTAGTCATCAGTGGTTAGCAAAAGTTCCGCTATAGATAGGAAATGTAACAATTAGACATATAGTAATGTACTCACGAAACAACTACTACTAACCTTAGAATATTTTCTGCGCAGATGGCTGGTCTCAATGAGATTAGTCGAGTAATTCGCCGTGACTAAAATCGGCAGGAGAACATTTTTATTTCATATTATATGTTCAGGTTATTTTAATAATTAAAAAACTTAATAAAATATTTTTTCCAATAAAATGGTTATTTTTTCCAATATTATGGTTTATGCTTATTACTTTCTGTAACAGTTCTTTCCTGTTTTCATTTCGTTATGTCTTTTAGTTGACGTTGGCAATGGCAAACCGATATAAAGGCCGCCCCGTGCTCGTGGTGCTAGGCGCGGGCTCGGGCGCGGCGTGCTGGCAGCGTGCGAGCTGGCCGAGCGCCGGCCGCGCCGCGTCGCGGGTGTATAACGGCATCATAACTGCCTATACCTAATTAGTATTAATAATACTAATTAGCTCATTCAAAAAATTAAAGTTCACAAAAAATACATTTAATTAAGTAGATCCAGTCAACCAGAAAATATTTTTGATATTCTAAATTAAGAAGAATACACTACATCAGGAAAATCATCAAGTAGGGTGGAAACAGAACACACAACAAACAAACACATTTTTAACAACAATTTAAAACTATTTTACCTTTTTAAATAAATATCCAAATACATCCGCGACAAAATTCGGAAAGATAGTTTTATTTAAAATGTCAAATATTCGCATAAATCTAAGAAAGTATTATACTATTTTAGCCGTCAAATTTAATTATAAGAAAATATTCTTGAATATTTCTGTGACACTATTAGCTAAATGCCAACAAAAAGAAGCCCTGAGGAACCACTCCGTGTATCATATTTATACGGCCATTAAGTGAAAATTAATTACAGAGCCTCGCCCGATGTTGAGAATGATACCGAGTGAAGTTACAGCGGTGGCATTGCCAACTTTTTTGAAAACACTTTACTAGACACTCCTCGCCAGTCATTAGCACTACTGGCATTATCTGCAAAATACTGCTCCTAACTGCAACATAATAGCTATCAAGTTAAAAGCAATTAATTTATAAGCTACAAACTTTTATCCAAACGTATACTAAAATAAAATTATAAGAAACTTAAGAAATTCAGTAGAAACGGTTGTTACCATCAGAATGCAATACAACCGATTAATCGCTTCGTAATCGATTAATTACAGGAATCAATCAAGATAATCAAAAAAAAATTAAGATAAAAAACTTCAGGGTCCAGGATCAGCAGAGGTCTCGAATACCATTCAGCCTAGCAAAGGGTAGGCTGTCCTTAGGCACCCCAGACCACCGCTGATGATATGTGAGCGCCGAATTTGTCGACACATTTCACATATCTGCAGTTTCGACTGTTATCAACCGGTATCAGATAATGTGCGTAGTGATAAACCTCTGATTATAATTGTATGAATGATTACGTATCTATTGTGACGTAATTTACTAAATAATTAACAGGGTCGGTACAGTTGTACTACACTTGTATGTAATTATACGTTTTGAGCTGTATATTTTCTAAGAGACAAAACGTTTGGACTCTACCCTACCTTGAGTAGACTCCCACCGATTCCATAGTCATGATACTGGGTGCATCCAATGGTTATCAATTCACTGGACCTGAAATTTCTTCATCCTCTATAGTTTAATATGTATAAACCATACAATAGGTTTTTTTTGTAATTCAACTCCTTAGTATAAAAAGTGGTAGCATAGAAGAAAAAATTTGTCTAGCCCCTCGGTAAACCCTCTCGGTTTGATGCTATTTAACATAGTTAATATAATTCGTATTTTAAGATTTTTAAAATTGTTTCCTGTTAAAGAGATAATAGAAAGCAAACTACAAAATAACTTCGACACTTCAATATCAATTTTTGGTGACCTTTTAGGTCCTTTTCTGTTCCTCCTGTCCTGTCCAAGTCGTGTGTGTCTCGTCAAAGTAGACAAAGTTGTACTTCTTCTAAGCTCTATCTTGCGGAAACACCTCTCCTCTTAAGTAACATTAATTTCGCCTAAATACTCCTTATTCCAGTACAGGCTCATTAAGACAAAATTAGTTATTCTACAAAAAATTGACGACACGTTGGGCTCAGTTTGTAGCGACCCTACTTGCTGTGCCAGCGGTCGCAGGTTGGAGTCCCGCTGGAGGCATTCATTTGTGTGATGAGTACAAATGCTTGTACTCTAGTCACGGGTGTTTGTATTTAAAATATGTATGTATTTAAAGTTATATATATGTAGAGTATCAACTATCCGGTATCCATAACGCAGGCCTCGTAGCTTACCATGGTACTAGATGGTGCTGTATGTTAATGTCCCAACATATTATTATATTAATCATATACAATAAATAATCATATTTTTTACAGACGAAAACATATTTACGTCAAACAACTTATGTACAATTAAATTAAAATGGTTAAGTCACCTCTTGCGTAGGACGCGGGTCAGGGCACGACTACACACTATCGGAAATAAATCTGCATTTGATCAATATAAATAGTAACTAACTGCCTACGGCTTCGTCTTTGAAACCATGCACTTCTATAACTAATATCATTATGTATAATGAAATAATCTAATAAAGGAAAGATGACAAAAAGACTAAATAAGATATTACGTATTCAACTCATAATTATTTATAGTTACGAATAAATCGTTAGGTAAGCAATACGCAAAACATTCAACTTTTCTTTTTTTTCTCTTAGTTTGTGTTCAGCCCTTTTTAACGTCCCACTGCTGGGCACGGATCCTATTATTAATATAATAAAGTCAAATAATAAATCTAAACATAACAAACAGGTAGATGTAGTAAGTTCTTACTGTGTGGATCAAAATGATAGCATTTCTGATTAATATTTTTCATTTTTCTTTTGTAAATGTATATAGTAATAGTGTTGCTTAGTAATTTGTCTTTTTAAATAATAGAAAACTAAATTAAAATTGTTATCCTTAATTAATTTTTACTTTTTAAATTACACATAGAACGATTATATGGCTTAAATAATTAATACTATATTTTACATTTTTCTTTATGGTTATAAATATAATAATGGCAACACTAAATATGGGTTACTAATTAATGTTTTTAAAATTGTAATAATTATAATAATAACAGCAAAAATTAAATAAATAATATTCCATATTCAATTATAAAACTAGTTAAAAGTATAAAAATGTTCAAATTTAAAAAATATTGTTAGGTAATTGGAGCAATTTTCATTTTGTTAATTGTGGGTAGGCTGTCTGTAACAACTATACCTTCGAGATATCTAACACCTCAGTCTCTCCCGTGACCATGAATGCTGTAAAACTTTGGAAACGTCGGGAACTAAAAATCCAAATAAATCCGCGAAAAAATCCGAAAAGATAGTTTTATTTAAAATGTCAAATATTTGCGTAAATCTAAGAAAGTATTACACTTCAAAATCAAGCCAATTTTATTATATCGTATTATACTATTAATAAATAAATAAATCCTTTTTAATTTTTAGGAAGACATGAAACCAAGAGGCACACTGCATGACCCATTTCGGTGGGCGGTGTGCCACGCGGGTTGCTCCTGCTACTTCTGTGATAGAAGAATAGACCGTGGAAAAGACCCCCCCCCCCTCCGGCTAACGGCTCCTCAGCAGGCCAGCCGTTGGGGCATCGTAAGTGAGTGATGGTTTTAGTGAGCAGTACTGGTTTTAATAGCAGGTACGTCCAACATAACCACCTGTCTGTATGAATACAGGTGGCATGCGTAAATGCATTTTCCAACATTAAAAAAACTAATATCCGACATGAAAATGTATTAGAAATATTTACAAAAGAACAGTCCAACAAACAGAATACCATAATAATAGCTCCCGTCGAATCCTTTGGGAACGAAACCCTAAAATGAAACCTAAAAAGTTAAGCCTCTAATTTAACCAACAGGTTATTTTTATATTAAAGCTTAATACTATAAAAATCTGTACAATAATATAAAATTGTTATATTTTTATTATATTAAGAAACTCAATGGTTTCTTGATGCGTTTTCGATAAAATTTCGAGCAAATATTGCTCCGTGTTAAAGCTGCTGATGATATCGTTATTGGAATACAAAAACAGTTTGATATACATAAATATTTAATCTTATATTATAGTAGGTTTATTCCATTCCCGTTATTATATATTAATTACTAACGACGACTTGCCTTATTTTATTCTTTACTTTATTATTATAAGTTTTGTATAAGTGTTAAAATTGAGAATCTACTAATAGGAGGTCCTTTCTCTACAATTTCTTTAACATTCCTTTACAAAAATTGAGTCTTATTACAATTTATCCACTTTCTTTTCTTAAGTTTAAAGAAATATAGTTGTACTAGCCACTGGTTATCCGGGTCAACTAATATACTAATACGAGTATACTAATATATAAAACCTAAGAATTTGGTTTTGGTCATATGAACGCGGGCGGAGCCGCGGGTAATTTAGTAGTAATTCTAATAAAATCATAGAAAGGTCGAATTTGTACATTCAATTTTTTGGAATTAAAACTACGTATTTTAAAGACACACGGCGACATCTATTGACGAATATCCAATTAATACAAAAATAAATATTCATTAAAATATTTTTTAATGAATAAAATAGTGCCATCGATATACTTTTTCAAGATTAGCTATTTTTAATAGTTTTTGACATATTTAGTAAGTTAACTTGCTAAAATCTATATAGTATCATCGTTTTTTTGTTCTAACCAGTTTTTGTATTTTTCTCAGAAATGAGATATTTTTCTGCGGTAAAAAATATCCTATATGTTGACCCGGATAATCAGCTATGACCATACCAAATTTCATCAAAATCCGTCCATTAGTTTTTCTGTGATGCGGTAACAGACATACAGACAAACAGACAAAAATTCTAAAAACTATAGATTCGGCCTCTGTATCGATAATAATGTCGATTTCAATAAGATTTTCGAAAAAATATTTAATGTACAGATTAGACTTAGAATTTTATTATATGTATAGATTATAAGAAGTTTGTGTTATATGCCATCTTTACTTCAAATTGAAAGTAGTCATTTAAACAGCCAAAGTTTAATTTTATATTGGAGCCAATTATAAATAAAGTCAAAACAAAATAAGTGATGTAATAAAAATAAGTATCATGATTACGAACAAAAATATAAGGAAAAAGACTACTTTACCTTCCACCTCAAAGATATCTTTATATTAATACGCTAAGAAAAAACTTTTTAAGCATATTGCATGTACGGAGAAGTGTAAGATTTGGCATAGTTAAAGTTTATATATAGTCCTTCTCGGACTGTAGACATCCAAAAGTTATTGACTTTCTTTTACCCGCGAATCCGCTCGCGTATTTTATTTACATATATATATTAAACTGCCTCCGTAGTGTAGTGGCTAGCATGTACGGCTGCACACCCGGAGGTCCTGGGTTCAAGTCCCGGGTCGGGCCAAGTTTAGTTATTGAGTCTTCCTGTATAAGTAAGCCTCAGTAACAGCCCGGAGTTGGGAAGTTGGCGGTGTTTCACCCCCGTGCCTCGGAGAGCACGTAAAGCCGTCGGTCCTGCGCCTTAACTCTCACTGGTCGTGTCGAGCAGTCGTCCCACCGGAATATGAGAGTGACAGGAATAGAGAGTGCACGTTGTGTCTGCGCGTACACTTGTGCACTATAATATCTCCTGCGCAGTTGCCTAGTCTCAATGAGATTGGCCGCCGTGGCCGGAATCGGTCGGGAGAACATCATCATATTACTTCATTGCTAAAATATGCAGCATGATGTTTAAATTTTTAGCTTCTTCACAAATTGACTCTTTCTACAGAAAATTATGTTTAATCACCATACAAAAGTGAGTGTAAATGTTTGATTATATTGATAGAAATAAATATTAATTGAATTGATCATAGATATGGATACGTTATCAGGACTAATCTCGATATTTCCAGGGGTTACTAATAAAATTACTGAAATTCACTGGTAATAATTATGTGCGAAAGAGAATCACTGAAGAATCTTTAGTAATACTATAAGTATCCCGTTTTACATCACAAAAATAATATATTTCACCGTCGCTCCGCTCGGGTTCTTACCTAGTTACGTTTTAATGTTTACTATAGATTTCTCAGAGATGAGATATTTTCCCACAGTAAAAAGTACTTTATATGTTGACCCGCATAACCAGCTTTCATCATACCAAATTTTATCAAAATCTGTTCAGTGGTTTTCTCGTGATGCGTTCACAGACAGACAGACAAAAATTCAAAAAACTATAGATTCGGCCTCTGTGTCGATAATAATGACTATTTTAATAAGATTTTCCAAAACATATTTTATGTACAGATTCGACTTAGTTATTCAATCAGGTTATTGCGTTGGGGTTTTTTAAAGTTTCTAAGTTTAATACTATCTTGAACTGTATTATGGGTTTTGACCATATCATAGTTAATTATCCCATTAGTTTACCATAACATACAACATACACAAATGTGCGATAACGTCGAACGTTATTAAATGTTATTAATGAATACCACTAAGCGTAATTAGCGCGTGCGGTCGTCCGCGGAGGAATGCTACGGACAATCACTCCACTATGTTATGATGCTTGTTATATACCATACTAGCTTTATTCCGCAAGTTTCATGGGTTTATTTACTATACAATCATGTGGTTGTATATCATGGAAATGTGTTTCTGAAAAAAAAACCTTTTTTATGTTGGGAAATGCATTTATGTATACCACCTGTAGATATTCAGGTGCTTATGTGGGACTCATCGGCTAGAAAAGCCAGTACTACCCACTAAAACCCAACAAAACCTTCCTCCGTCTTAATGGGGCGTCGCAGGATCACTTACGCATTCAACTACGACGCCGCGACGGTAGGGCTGCTGAAGCAGACCACAATAGTCATGGAGTTGCTCTACAGTCCACTCTGCTATCAGAGAAGTACCAGAAGCAACCCGAATGGCACACCGCCCACCGAAGTGAGCCACCTCCCTGTGCGTTTCTTAGCTTTGCGCCTGGCTGGGTTGCCGGGCACTATTCAGCCGCCCACCACGACAAGGTGAACGCATGTTTTTCTGAAGAAACCCCTACATTTATTACATAATGAACTTTGTAGAGATAAGAAAGATCGGGCTATAAAGTTTTGACTGAACGAAGCAAACTATAAACTTTCTAATATTAAAGCTGAAGACAATAAGACATTTTTCTACAAATAAATATATTTTTAGTTTATAGTTTGTTCATATAATATTAATTCGGTTGTCGTCTCGTGAAAATTTGACTCAAAATGCTCAAGTTTTTGTTCAAACGCTCGAGAAGTTTGAAGTAAAAATACCGTCAACATTTGATAGGTTAGCCATAATTAAGTGCTTAAGATTTCTCTATCTATATAAAACACGTATAACTAATGAGATTTTTTGTGTGCAAGTATGTATGTGCGTCAGAACACCTGGTCAAAGAGAATTTACCAGTTAGCTATAATAGAAATTGTTCTTACTGAGGCTTCGTAGTTCGTACCAGACAATAATCTCCCCGTCTTATATAGCAACATTGTATGAATAGTGCCAACTTAGTTGCATAAGCTACTCAAATGATTAAATAGATATTTTTATCTATAATATAAAAATGAATCGCTGAATGTGTTGCTAAGGGCAAATCTTAAGAGCAGCTGAACCGATTTCGCTTATTATTTTTTTAAGAATATTCCTTGAAGTACGAGGACGGTTCTTACGGAGAGAAAAATTTAAAAAAATGCCTGAAAAGTCTAAAAACAACATTTTTTATACTCCTATTATTATAATTGTCTTTTTAAATATGTAATAGCAAACTAAATTAAAATTATTATTCTTTATTAATTTTAACTTTTTATATTACACATAGAACAATATTATGTGGCTTAAATAATAAATATTATATTTTATACTAGCGGCTCACCCTCGCTTCGCTCGGGTTCGCCTCTAGAAAAACACTAATAAAGATCTATTAGTTCCCATGGGAACCGTTCATTTTTCCGGGATGAAAAGTAACCTGTTGTTTGACCGGCAATATAAGGTATCAGAATGTTAAATTTTACTAAATTAGATGCATAAGTTGTTGTATGTGTGATGTTGCCCGGGGATATAAGGTACCACCATGCAAAATTTCATTTAAATCGGTAATTAGATTCGGAGATTAGCCCGTACAAACAGACAAACATGCAGAGAAACAAAAAAAATTGAAAAAAACTGGATTTGTTCTATTTGTCTTCTTACATCCCCCTGACTCGGTTTAGAGCATTTTTTTGCTTTGTACAGACATTCGACCTCTACTGTTTTATTATAGTATAGATTTTTTTCTTTATGGTTATAAATATAATAATGGTAACACTAAATATAGATTACTAATTAATATTTGTAAAATTGTAATAATTATAATGATAACAGCAAAAAATAATAAATAATATTCTTTATTCAATTATAAAACTAATTAAAATTATAAAAATGTTTAAAGTTATAAAATATTGTAAGGTACTTCGTACGATTTTTCATTTTGTTATATTGTGGATAGGCTGTCTGTAACAACTATACCTTCGAGACATCTAACACCTCAGTCTCTCCCGTAACCATAATTGCTGTAAAGCATTCGAAACGTCGGGAACCAAAAATCAAAATAAATCCGCGAAATAATCCGACAATATAGTTTTATTTAGAAAATGAGATACGAGTATGTTTAAACGTTGAGTTAAATTAAACCTTATAAAAGATTTCTTTTATTATTGCTAAAAAATTAACACGACCAAATTAAATTTATTAGAGAAAGTGTCAAACGCGATCATGAGATAATAGTAAAATATAATTAATTTTAATATTTATGCATTATAGATGAAAATTCATAGATAAAGCTTATATGTCACTTGAAATACGCGACTACAGTAGTAAACTATCGCCAATAACGCGAACAACTCCGTCAAGCGGAAAGTTAGCTCACAATAAATGCATTTGGGTTAAACAAAAGTGAAACAAAACCGATGCGCCACTAAAGCCTACCGTCTATCTAAAATATCTTTCTATAGCGCTATTAAATTCTTTAGCATGCTTTTATTTATTGGAGAATGATGTTATTTTTATTTTTTAATACAAAATATTAATGTTACTTAAATAATTTAATATCAAAAGTACCAGAACGAAGGAAAATTCTGTGGAATTTAAAAACATGTTACACTTATATTATTAAAATCAAAGAGCCCAATTTCTATTGGCAATATAAAGAAGCTTATACATAAATTTCAATATTTCTAAATACAAAATCGATGAAATTCCATACAATAATTTTCTTATATTTTATTTATCCCCTCTTTTAGAAATGAAATTTGTACAATCCTTCAAGAGTGCTCAATTTCGTTGGAAAAAGAAGCTCTGCAAAAGTACTGATTGTAAGTAGTTTCATCTTTACCACAAAGGCACAGGGGGCAGGGCCCCCTCCTCCCGAGGGCCCCGAAAAAACAATATTTTCGTTTACACAGAAAAGATAGAAGCGCAATTTTTAGTTTATAATACACTGCACTGTATACAGTGAATAATATTATGTTCCTTCGTCAAATTTTTAATTTTTTTAACTGACTTTTTAACGCTATCCAGTTTTTTTATTAATTTTTGTAGTTTACTTAATTATCATATACATTTTTGACCTTTCGAAATTGCCCTAAATTATTGTGTGCCCAGGGCTCCGCAGGGCTTAAGACGGCCCTAGTTCTAGTCCAACATTATAGAAAGTAGAAAATATATTATTATACTCTAGGGACTTAATGCAGGCAGACAGACGCATTAGAATAATAAATCAATTCTCTGCAAAGAAGTACTGATATTATTATTTCCATATAACAGTACCTAAAGAGATAGTATAAGTGGAAATGCAACCCACAGCCCGCAACCGACACTCGCCCGCTACATTTTCACGCCGGATATTACTTCCCCGTTTATCATGCACACCACTCCCGGTACTACTTGTTAGCATTGCCATTTTGGTAACATAAACTAAAAACATTACAAAAATTTTATCTTCTACTATAAAAATAAGCTGTCATATATTAAAGGTAACAGTCACTTATATAATATTGAAGCAAACATGGACATAAACATGTCAAATAATGATATATATTAGCAACTGATGATATTAATGTTAAACTAAGTATTCACATTGCAGTTATTTAAAGCCAACACAAATGGGTTTTAAATTAAATTACGTAGCAGTCCGTTGCGTTGCGTTGCGTCGATTGCACTCGAGCCGCGGCGTCCGGGCTGTGTGCTCGACCCTCTAATTAGCTATCTAGTCGTCCGTCAAATAGTGTTTGTAAATGATGAGGCTAAATTAAAATTTTACAATCGCTATCGTGCGCTCGCGTGCCGCTTTCGTAGTTTTGTTTCATACTGTTAATTAGTGCGCCCGCGCGCGTCGGTCGAGCGCGACATGAACGTGTGCGCGTCGCAGGACGACGCCGTCGCGTTGCCGGTCATAATCATAGAGGAACCCGACCCTCAGGACTGCCCGACCGGTTCACTCCCGCCCGAGGGAAACGTCAAATTACGCAATTACCGGCTTGTTAATGATAATCTTCGCGCTTACACGCCAACCGGCGATATTCACACTTCACCGACCAAAGGAAAGTTAGTGTCGAAATTCGATGTGTGGTCGTCGATTTCTCCACCTCGTGCCAAAATATTGGAACTTTTACGACCGGAGGATCCTGGTAAAGATGCTTTAGAGGCTATAGTGAGACCGGTGTCAAGACGCGGTCTAGTGCGACCTTATGACGAGGATACCAAACGATTTCTTCAAAGAACTCTACTTAGCCCAAGTCCTACCGGAGTGTCACAAGCCGCAACGCCGGAACCCATCTCTCGACTGTCTGCATCATTAGAGGGCAGAGAGAAAGATATAGGAACAAAACTAAAAACCGATGTAAGTGATCTTAAAAAGGAGAGGTCTTTAGCTGACGAGCTTAGAGAGGCCGAAGAGGATGAAAGATCTGGCGCCAATATTCGACGTGAATTATTAAGGGAGTTCAGAAAACGAGGTGGGGGTATTCGAGAGGCGATGGAAAGAGATCGGCTTGGGAAGCTAGCGCTTTCCGTGGAAGACGACGAGGTGTACGAGGACTGTGGGCTGACTGCTGCGGCGCGTCGGCTGGACGCTCTGCTGGTGGAGTCGCGCAACCTGCATGAGGAGCTGGCGGGCATCCACGAGGACATGCAGGTGCTGGCCAGGCGCCTGGCTCGCCGCGACCTCTGACGCGTTGGTACCACTGACACTGCCACCACCTATGTTACCACTTTATGCACGATTGGAAAGTTTCTTACGCATATAACACGCACGGTTTATGTTATAAATTACATAAAATCGTCTTGGGAGCACAAATACTTAGCACGGCGGAAACTTTATTGAAAACTATTTCAGTTCATATAACTTCTTTAAATACGCTAAAACTTTTTAATCTATCGAGAGCCTTTAAATTTTTTTTCTTAAGGTTTTCTATTCACGAAGCCCGTAATTCCCTCGCGTGCACTACTGATATTAATTGAGTTGGTATTCACGCACTGCTAAAGCAGTTTGATTTCTTTTCTTATTTCATTGGAGCAAATAATTAAACTTATGCTTAGCAAACAAAGATAATATTAAAAAGATTTTTTATTATTACAATTATAAGCTGACATCCTACAATTGTAATGCATAACATTGCGGTCAGCATTCCTGTATACATATAGAATTACAAGCGAGTTTCCAATAGTGCAATTATACTCTATTGTCGATAAACCAAATAATCTGGTAACTAAGTGAACGTGTTTAGGATCGAGGAGCGAATAATATATTTAATGGTCCAAAAACGGATGCTAATTAATCTTTGGTTGCCCATGGCGGTGGCGGTGGTGGCGGTAGCAGTGCTTAATTATGTATATTTATTGTTTATTCACACACGCTCTACGCTTTCCTGTTTACAAAATAGGGTTGGCATTTAATAATGCCTGACATTTAAAACGGCTAAACAATAAAAGATAAAGCTGCTAAATACTATAACACCTTGAAGTTAATGAAGTGTACAGATGCACAATAAGTAGATATTCTTATTAGTTATATTGGGTATTAAAGCTATTACTATAAAGACAGCGTGTCTGCTAAGGACGAGTTGCTAAGAGTCATTAATAAATAGTGATTGAAAATTAAAAGTTTTGTACTTAGGTACATCGTTAAGATATAGAATACATGCTTCTATATAATAGGTATGTGTATATAAATTGTATATAAAATTTAATATTATTATATATATATATATACTAGCATTGCCCTCGCCTGCGTTAAGATGACTGAAAACCAAATACTTAGGTTTTACATATTAGCATACTCTTACAATGAAGTTTCTGTACATTTTCTCAGAAATGAGATATTTTCCCGCGGTAAAAAGTATCCTATATGTTGACCTGGATAACCAGCTTTTCTCGTGATGCGGTAACAAACAAACCGACAGACAGACAGACAGACAGACAAAAAATTTAAAAACTATAGATTAGGACTCTATATCGATAATAATGTGTATTTCAATTAGATTTTCCAAAAAATATTCAATGTACAGATTCGACTTAGTTACAATTTTACTATATGTATAGATATATGGAATCTTGCTCAACATTCCTATAACTCCCGGTGAAATTTTTATCAAAATCTACATATTTCATTTTTCTCATAGGAAAAAATATAAACATTATTAAAAAAATAAATTAAAATAAAAGGACGACTATTAAATATAACCCGACCGTAAATATAAGCCTAAATAAAATAAATATTAGCCTATGTAAATTTAGATGAGCAGCCCTACTCAATGCTCACATGGAGAGCACCGGACGCGTTGGTTGCACTGATTTTTCCTTTGAAGTTTTAGAGGAGGGCTTTTCAGCATCCGGCTACATTTTATGTTACTTCAATTTAATTTTTAATCTCTGCTTACAAAAGAGTTTTCATTTTACATAATTATTCCATGTTTGTTTAGTTAGCTTTTTTATATATTTGGCCTCATAATACTCTATTATGACATATTATCATCTTATTTAACTTTCATAAATAAAACTACTTTACCATTCAATGAGAAACCTAAGAATATGAATACGTGAATTACTTAACAAGTATATAAATATTAACAATTATGGGAAGCATCGACGCCCTTTTAATAAGATTTCTTCCTTCCCTCCTTTTTTCTACACGATTCTAGCAGAAAACGGACGATTATCTTCCTAAATATCTAAATCCGCTTCGCTCGTGCCTTAGCTGCATATCTCGCGCCTTTTGTTAACCTTTTGGAATATCTAACGAGAAAAACGTAATTTATTTCTATACTAAAAACGGTTTTGACAATCCGTTCATCTGATGCATTTTTAATTTTAATGACGTTATATTTTTACCCGACTGCAAGGAAAGGGTTATGTTTTTCGCGCCTATCTTTTTATGTTTGTAATATTCTTTATTCGCTCATATTTTCCATTCTTTAATTAAGGTATCGTTAGATTTGTCTCATTAGTCCAAGTGTTCTTAGATAGGTGACATAAAGAAAAATTAAATATGGGGGCTGCTAGATTCCATAATATGAAAAAGAAAAAAATGAAAATCGACTATGTCAAGTGGGGTATCGTTGAATAGGTATTTAAAATCATTTTTAGGTTTCTTTCATCATTTTTAATTTTCAATAACAGTTTAGGATATATAATGATTTAAAGTTAGTTAACAACCATTCTCGCTAATTTTTCTACTTAAACAGCTGTAAATAAGTAAATATATTATAAACATAAGAAACCCGACTGCATAAAAGCTAACTAAAAAGATGAAAACAACACGTAAACACACCTTGCCGCTAGATGTAAATACTCGTATGTATGTCTCCGGCTGCATAATACTATATTCCATGGTGAACTTGTTTTTGTCAACCGACTTCCTCAAAAAGGAGGAGGTTCTCAATTCAGCTGTATTTTTTTGTTAATGTTTGTTACCTCAGAACTCCGTCATTTATTTACCGATTTGGACAATTTTTGTTTTGTTTGAAAGTGTATACATCTAGATTAGTCCCATTTAAATTTCAAAAATCATAATTTCGAATTCGGTGCTAGCCGATACAAAGCAAAGCACACCGATTCCGAAAATATTTGATTAGGTATGTATAGTAAATGAAAACTACCAATCAGTTATTTTTTACTTTTTAGTGCTTTTGTTTGAAGTCGGTTTTTATTTTTTTGTTAAAAAGTTTTTTTAATAATTTGCTCAATAGCTTAAAATTGTTTTTTTTTTTTCAATACTATACAGAGGCCGAAGTCGTACTAACAAACATATTATTATTTATTACACAGTCGTTATCAACATTTCCGTAAATCAATCTCTTGACCTCCGGAGACGTGAGTCAGACACGTACCCTATCTGACCACAACCAACATCAACTCCCATCTTCAAAAGGATAAAAAAATATTCTACTAGCTTTGGCACTTGGCTGCACTCATGTTGTACTCCATATTAGAAAAATATAAACATATATTGAATACATAGTTACTTTCCATAACTGCCTCGGTGGTGTAGTGGCTAGCATGTACGGCTGCACACCCGGAGGTCCTGGACTTTCCAAGACTACCTCTTACAAGCAAACATGCAAAATGCAAGAGTAAGTAAGGAATAACAATAATACAATTACATATACAGCCGAATTGAGAACCTCCTTCTTTCTTAAGAAGTTGGTCGAAAAGGGCCGAATGCTTCGTAGATAATAAATCGCTTTTATTGTGATGTTAGTTATGATTGATATGTGATATTCGTAAGATTTCATCGTTTTCATTAATTGTAACTTACAATTTTCATTCGAGACATTTCATCCTTACCATAGACTCTTTGCATTTTCAGTTTGTTCGATTACCAGTTCAGGTCACCTCTTTTAATCCCTCCTCGACCGCGGACACGCCGGCGTGTCAGTTAACAATAGATTTCTTAGAATTTTAATTAATTTCTTAGAAATTAACCTGGAGATGTTAAAAAAATGAAATGCAGTTAATATTTTTAAAAACAAAATGTTTAAGACATTTTTCTTCCATAGCTGTGCGTTTGTTCCACGATGTTAGTTGATATGTACCTATAGTTTGTACGATTTCACCATTTTCTTCAACTAACCTAACCTAACACGGAATGTTTTTGAAGAGATTTTGTCCTTCCCATTGATCCTATCAATTAATTCGATAAAGTAATGACGGCATTTTTATTTGGTTCGGTTCCCGGTTTAGGCAAGCTTTTTAAAAAAAATTAAATGCAGTTATTATTATTTTTTAAAATAAAGAAATGTTTCCTTTGAGTAAATCTTGATAACTTCAATATTTAAGGTACTTTTCATCCATGTCTCATCGATTTATTCCACCCTGTATATTGATTATATACTGATCTACCCCACGGGAACCGAACATTTTTCCGGGATAAAAGTAGTATCTGTGCTATTCCAGTTTATAATCTATCTCTGTGCCAAATTTCATCCAGATCCGTTCAGCCGTTCTGGCGTGAAAGAGAAAACAAACATCCAAATATCCATCTTACCTTTCACATTTATAATATTAGTAAGATACATAAACATACAATATACATGTATATAATTAGATACTTAATCATGTATATTTATTTCATACTAAAAAAACGACTCTATCATAAAGTGTTCTTTTAATTTAAACAGACTCTACATTTTTATAACGTAAGCAGCTGCACCTTCCAGCTGTTCGTTACAGGTGATTGTTAATTAAATCTAGTATCTAGACTTCTGGGGAAAGATAATAGCTTAAATCTTTACTTTACTACTACAAGGATCCTATTTCATTTACCAAACTATTATTTATACGACTAATCTGTTGTGATTCATAATAAGTGACTTGAATATTATATATATATATATATATATATATATATATATATATATATATATATATATATATATATATATATATATATATATATAGCTTTAGTTCTTCCCTAGGTACATTTTAACGTTTAGTATAAATTTCTCAGAGATGAGATATTTTCCTACAGTAAAAAGTATCCTATATGTTGACCCGTGTAAACACCTTGACAGACAAAAATTCTAAAAAACTATAGATTCGGTCTCTGTATCGATAATAATGACTATGTCAATAAGATTTTTTTTTTAAATATTCAATGTACAGATTCGACTCAGAATTTAATTATATTATGTATAG